GTAATTTGACCTGTTTTTTTTCAGAGGCTTGGCAAATCTGTCAGTTGGTGGCCAATGGATGCTGTGTAGACCTGTAAAAGAACGGTGTTTGTAGCTTCTAACTTGGACCCAACTTTCTGTTTGCAGGGCTAGCATACATTTTTGTCATGGTTGAGAGATGAGTGATTGCTTTATTTGACAGTATTTGCTGTCTTTGATAGGAAGGGAAATAATTACATATCAATGTGTTAAGTGACTCCCTTTTTTCCTTATGGTCTACCTTTGAGAATGTTTGTACTGAAAGTGGAATCCAAGTCCATGTAATATCTTCTCCAACTTCTGACTCACGAAGTTTTATTAGGAAGGGCCTGGAAGGCTGCAGAAGTCTTGTGAATCTGTGGTTTAGGGTGGTCTTTATGCTCATGCATGTATCTGGCTTACACATGTGCATATGATTCAATCCTGGCCAACAGATATGAACCAGGAGTCTGTTGGGGGTGGGGGTGTTTCAGGAAAAGGTTTCTTAGCTTTTTAGGAAATAGGGTACTTTGGATAGCTTTTCTTTCTGGCTTGTACTGTGTGAGATTTTTAATCTATTTGCCAGGATTTTTTTCTTTCTTCATTTGTATCACAGAGATATCTCAACACATTCTGCCAGGATTACATGAGGTAGGGAACTGTGGATTTCCCCAAGAGGCCAAAAAGGAAACAATCCCACACTAAAATACAACTACTGTATTTCCTTTATACTTATTTGGACATGTTGATCCTGTAGGTAGAGTTTTTTCTTCTTCCACAGATGGGATGAGGAATGGTCTGTGTGACTGCAAGATTTGGAGATCTCTCTCTCTCTCTTTTTTTTTTTTGCAAAGTACTGGTGAATTCACAGGCTCATTGTCATTCACACTTATGAAAACATACTTTTTATGAGTGTATAGAGGAGTGGTATTAAGAAGTCCTTAGTAAGCATTACAAGAATATAAATTAATACATAAATCAGGTTAGAAGTTAAAAAAATATTAACTGCACATTCCTCTTTATTCTCTGTTCCAAACTTGCAAAGCTGCCTACCCAGTGACATCATTTGGAAGGCTTATATTTCATTAAAACGATCATCATTTACAGATCATTTGTTGATGTTCAGAAATTGTTGCTGTGATCCTTTGATGACATGATGTCACTTGCTAAATGATCCTTTGTAGTTTGACTTAAAGAATTGCATCAAATCCTTCCATCAATTCCTCTTTTAACTTGATAATCATTAGGAGATCTGTAGTCTTAAAAAGTAGAGTTTCTTTCAAAGTCAGTCGAATTATCCATGGTTCCAAGACTTCTCTCAGTTTCTGCTGAACTAAGCACTTACATTAACATTTTTTCCTAGGTTTTATAATGTTGCCTCAGATTTTTATATGGTCAAATTCTCTCTTGTCAACTAAGCCATGAAAATCACTTACTGGGCTGTCGTTTTTAATTAAGTCGAGAGTACAGTTGAGGCCAAATGAGGAGAGGAGTAGGGTGAAGGTTAGGCGTGCAGCCTTCACTGCCAAGGTGTCTGTGTTTGGATCTGGACTCTGCCCCTGACATTTTAAATACTTCTGTGTTCTTCAGCTTCTTTATCAGTAATGCATGTAATTTTGTTTTCTTTGTTTTGTTTTTGTACCGGGGATCGAACTCACTATCTTGTGCTTGCCAGGCAGGCGCTTATGCTGCTGAGTTAAATCCCCCAGCCCCTTTTATCTGTAAAATGGGGGAAATAAGGTAATTATAAAACTGCCACAAAGAATCCTTCTCACTTTGCAGTGATGGTTCCCCAGTTTGAGCCTGCAGTAATTCTCCACTTTAGTCATTTGTTTACTTCATCCCTTTCTGATTCTCCCAGTACTGGCTCACAGTGACTGCAGTTTACACACAAGGCCACACAGGAATGATACCAGGGAGCAATGGCCTGAGATGGACCCCATCACAGTCTTAGTGGTCCAGGTGGGCCCTAAGGCCTTGCTCACTGTCAAAAATATTCCCCTCTCTGCTCTGTTAGACAAACATGCTGGTGAATGAAACAGACATTAACAGTAGCATTCGTGAACTGGCTGCTCTCACATGTGAGTCACGGTGGCCTCCCAGCAGTGTTCAGCCAGAGATCCTCAAGGCCAGGAGAAATGCACGGCCGAAGCAGACACAAGCACAGGGGACTCAGCGAGATTCAGGTTTGGGGAGCAGGTATAGATACATTTAGACATTGAGCAATAATTACAGGCTCATGTCTAGAGAGGAAAAGCTGGAGATGCTGTTGGTGATCAGAGATGCTATTGCACTTGCAGGTCTCAAACCACGCTACTCCAGCCATGTTTCTTCTCCTGACAAGTGGGAATTAAGTAACCACAAATAGAAACTGTGTCTCTCCATGTCTGTGGTTGCTTTGAAAGGAGAGTGGTTTTCTGCTTGAGAGGTTTCTGCAGGGCTCACATCCAGCTTCCTGAGCCTGTATCGCACCCCCAGCAAGGGAGGTTCTCCATGGGGACCAGGAAGCCAGGCAAAGGGGCAATTAGATTTCACTCAACACCAGGGTCCGTTTCTAGAATCTCTAGTGTTCCAAAGAATTGGTGGCAATGTTTTATTTTCAGAGAAGAAATCTGTAAAGCAACTGTGTTGGTGACTGTGGGCGAGTGAGTTGCTGGAGTGCTAGCGAGTCTGAGGCTAGCTTAGTTTAAATGACAGCTTTTGACATTTTTCGCCTTCAATTTAGAAATCTTACAGTGAAATCGTATGATTCTGATATCACTTTTTCCTTAGAATAGCTCAATGTCATGTGAGTCAAAATGGGAGTCAGACCACATGCAAAGATTTTCCAGGTTCATTAATGTCCTGGAGGAGGAAAGAGATGTATGTCATAGAGTGGCAAAAAGCTGTGGTCCCTGGATTATGCCTCAGTTTGACCTTCAGATTTGCCATGCACTAGGCAAATTAATAAATTAGCAGCTCTCTCTCTCAATTTTAATATATTTGCGCGTGCATGTGTGTGTGTGTGTGTGTGTGTGTGTGTGTGTGTGTGTCTGTATGCATGTCAGGGTAAGTATAATACTATATTCAACCTGCAAGTGTTAAATGTTGTATGATGTTCCCAGTTTCTCCAGATCCTCAACAGTACAGCATGCAAACCTTGTGGCAAAGGTATTCACTCCTCAGATAATTCATATGCTTTGTCCTGCTCCTGCCCGGGTTCCCCTCTGAGGTCACCTTGTCCATGAAGCTTGCCCATCAGGGAGTTAATTCAGTGGGGCCAGCTGCCTTGTTGTTGGGCTGATCCCTCCGTCCTTCACACACTCTGCAGTTGTGAACTCCATGCTCACATTGCCCCAAATTTCTATGTTGAAATCATACTCCCAATATGATACCTTTGGCAGGAGGACCCTGGATCATGAGGACAGAGTAGTAGGGCCCTTGTGAATGGAAATAGGGTCCTTATGAAGGGGCCTAGAGAGCTGCCATCTCCTTCATCAGGGGAGAATGCAGAGAGAAGGTGGTATTCTGTGAGCCAGGAAGCTGGCCCCCATCAAGCACCAAGTCTGCCAGCACCTTCATATTGAACTTCATAGTCTCCAGAACTGTGAGAAACAGATTATTATTATTAATCTATCCAGTTTATGGCATTTTGTTTTAGCAGCTTGACAGGTTAAGATAATTGTATAATATTATGCCATATATTGCTTATAGTTCTATAGAGTATAATCTCCAAGATAAGAGGGATGCATCTGTTATTTCATTTTACTTAAAAGTAAGACTATCTTTGGTGAGGGATATATTATAGGGTTATTGATACTTCACTTTTAACTATTCTATAAGCAACAACAGTATTTGGTATATAGTAGAACCTCAGTTAAACTTTATCAAATGAATAAATACATGAAGTTTCATGGGTTGGAATTGAAATCTAAACTTTCTGTGGATTTATAACAATAATGCATGTAATGAAGCTTGCAAAAATGCTTGGATATTAGTTTTACTGGATAATAATACTACTACTAAAGGTCTATTTATCATGCCTTGCAAAACATAACATCTCTAAAATGAATTTTTTTATTTGAGGGGCATCAAGAGAATTACAGTTCTCATATATGAGCTTTGAAGTAAGTAAGCTGCAAATTTTTAGTAATTTTATTTTGGACTGTCAGATAACAGGCAGCTGAAATCAAAATAGCTCCAAATGTCATGAAATGTCTTCTCATATTTCTTCTCAAGCATTAAATGCATTAAACCTTAAAGGAACGGTGTGTGTTTCTGAGCTCATGGATAACTTTAACAGACGTAAATTACCCAAAAAGCCTTTCTTATCTAAATGGACCGCCTTTATAAGAGTTTTTCCCCAAATCTTCAAATTAGTTTTTCAGGTGAGATAACAGTCAAGAAAAGGGGTTGGGAAACTTTTCTGTAAAAGGCCAGATAATACATTTTTAGACTTTTTTAGGCTGTTTGGGTTTTGCTGCAAGTGCTGGACTACTATGCCAGCGTAAAAGCAAATGCAAATGCTATGCAAAAGATGGTTATGGCTTATTCCAAAAAAACCTGTAAAAATAAGCAGTGGAAACAATGGGTCTAAAGGTAGTTCGCTGGCCCCTGATTAAACACATAGACCTTTGGAGTTAGACATGGGTTCAAATCCTGACTGCACCATTTAGAAGCTATGAAACCTTCAGCAAATTTATTCACCCAATTCAGTTTACTTTGTAGTGAATCTGTGGACCTAGGGTTATTGTGAGACCAATTGAGGACAGCATGATCAGTACTATGAGAGGTGTGCATGGTGGTGTTGCAATCTTTAGCTATATCTACATCTCTGTCTATTGTGCATGTGTTATATATTCACCAATGACACATACATTTCTGATGTTGTATGTAACAGATGCTCATGATTTGTGTGTGATTTATGTATATATAAGTATGAATATACAGGATATCAACTATACAGTTATACAATATATCAGATATTTATTTATCTAAATATTTCCTTTTCTTCCTTCTTCCAGGTTTTTGTTGCTTGGACAGTACCTGACACCTCGATGTTTTGCTGATTCTGACTTATTCTTCATGTCTTGGCTTTTCCTAGTCTTCACTGACAAAAGAGGCCTGATCATATACTATTTTTCAATATATACTTGTTATGATTTATATCTAGATGTCTGCCAAAGCCCCAAAGCATGCAGTCATAGGTGAGGATTGGAAGGTGATTGTGTTGTGGAGGTTTGGAGCTGATTTAACGTTAGGAGGTGCCCTCAGGTGGGAAGAGGTGGGTCACTGGGGGTGTGGCCTTGGGTTTAACCCCTTGGCTGCCTACTTCTTTCTCTCTCTCCTTCCCCCTGACTAGGCAGTGAGCTACTCTCCTAGACCACGTGTCTCTACCCGGCTGTCCTACCTTGGAGCCAGCTGAGTGGGGACTGAAATATGAACCAAAATAATCATCTTCTCAATCGCTGGTGTTGGGTATTGTATCTCAGCCATGAGGGGATGATTAAGACAATACCATATTCATGGAATTTAAAAATTAATTCTTTTACTGGAAAGACTTGCAGTTCTTACAAATTATTTGAGTGTTAAGAAGCTGTAATGATCATTCTCATAATGTACATCTAGAGCATTTAGATACCTACCAGTGAATGAATGAATGAATTAAAAAGTGATTAGTGTTTCTGAACTAAAGCTAAAAGTGATTAGAAGCTACCATAGATCCTGAATTTCTACTGTTATCAATGTGGTATTTTGAAGTTAGTCACTGTTTGTTTCAGGTACCCTTTTAAAAAGATTAAAATTTTTTAAAAAAATTTTTTTAAAGAAAAAAAAACAGAAAAGAAAAACAGAGAGCAACAGAGACAAAAAACAACAAATTCAAATCAATAACAATATACACTTTCAAAACAAGATGATAGGAATTTAACAATGATTATCATATGGTGTATTGTTATCTTTAAAAGAGTTGCTTAGATTCCAGATACAGAAATGTAAAATTGATCTAATCATATGAGTACTAATTGTTCTTTTCTAAGCATTAATAGAATTAGTAGTATAGTCATGTAAGCTATTATATATATACATATACACAAACTTACGTCTTTTTCCTTTTTCTTCTTTCCTCCTTTCCTCTATCCCAGTTACTTTTTGCCCTTTGGGTAGTTTCTTAGCTTTATACAATGTGTATTGTTGATTTTGAATCTTACTTACTCTTTCCGTTTCTTATACTAGGGAGACAATATAGTATTTACACGTGAGTTTGATTTATTTCACTTATGAGTATGGTCTTAAGTTTATATGTCCACTTACCTATAAAAGCCTTGATCTAGTTCTGCTTTGAAGCTGAATAATACTCTATTCTATAAAAATACCACATCTTTTTTTATCCATTCCTCAGTTGATGGGCATTTGAGTTGTTTCCAAGACATGGCTACTACAAATTGTGCTGTTATAAACATGGGTGCACATACATCACTGTGGTATGGTATTTTCAACTCTTCTAGGAAAATATCCAAAGAGGAATATCTGGGTCAAATGAGACCTCCAATCCTAGCTTTTAAAGGAAACTGCAGACTGATTTCCACAGTGATTGCACCACTCTACACTCCTACCAAGAGTGGAGAAGAGTTCCTTTTTCCCCACAGCCCTGCCAGCATTTGTTATTGGTTGATTTCTTGATTATAGTCATTCTTTCTGGAGTGAAACGAAATCTCAATGTTGTTTTAATTTGCATTTCTCTCATGACTAATGATGCTGAACATTTTTTCCTATATTTATTTGCCATTTGTATTTCTTCATCTGAAAAGTGTGCATTCATCTCAGATGTCCATTATTGGATTGGGTTCTTGAATTTTGGGGGCTTGAATTTTTTAATTCTTTATATGTTCTGGATAGAAGTCCTTTGTCTGAGGGACAGTTTGCTAAGATGTTTTCCCAATTTGTGTTTTTTTTTTTCACTTCGTTGGAAATTTTTTTTTGATATGCAAAAACTTTTTAATAAGGCAAGGTTCCATTTATTGATCCTGGGAAGTATTTCCTGTGCAGTTTGATTTTTGTTATGAATTCTCCTCCTACCCCTATGTCTACAAGATTTCTACCTACTCTTCCTTCCAGCAAAGTTAGTGTTTTTATTTTGATATTTAGATATTTGATCCATTTTGACTTTAATGCGTGGTTATAGACATGGGTCTAGTTTTAGATTTTGGCATATGGAAAGCCAGTTTTCCAAGCACCATTTATTAAAGAGGCTATCTTTCTTCCAGTGTACATGTTTGGCCCCATTGTCAAAGATGAAGTGTCTGAGTGTGTTTGTAGCTGTATCTGCATCTTTTAATCTGTTCCATTCATCCTCAGGTATGGTTTTTTTTTTTTTTTTCCAGAACCATGCAGATTTTACCACTATAGCTTCGTAGTGTAATTTCTTTTTTTTTTGTATTTTTGTATTTTTACCGGTACCAGGGATCAAACTCACGACCAAGCGCTTATGCCGCTGAGCTAAATCCCCAGCCCCCGTAGTGTCGGATTTCAGGTCACGGATTATGATGCCTTCTGCCTTGCCTTTGTTGCACAGGATTGCTTTTGTTATTCTAGGTCTCTTATGTTTCCAAATGAATTTCAGGAATGTTTTCTCTAGATCTGTAAGGCATTTTGATTGGAATTGCATTAAATCTGTATAACTTGTAGGAGTATGGCCATTTTCACAATGTTGGTTCTTCCTAACCAAGAGCAAAGGGTACCTTTCCATTTTATGATATCCTCTTTAATCTCCTTTTTTAGTTTACTATATTTTTCAATGTATAGATCTTTTGTTAGGTTGATCCTTAATTATTTCATTGTTTTGGATGCTATTATAAAGAGTGTGGTCTCTCATTTCTTTCTCTGTGAGTTTATTGTTTGTGTACAGGAATGCTATTGATTTTTCAGCATTGACTTTGTGTCTCGCTACACTGCTAGATTTGCTTATTAACTTTAGTAGACTTTTGATAGAGTTTTTGGGATCTTCTATGTAGAGTATTATGTTGTCCACCAATAGTGATACTTTAACTTCTTCCTTTCCTATCCTTATTCCTTTTATTTCTCTTTCTTGTCTAATTGCTCTGGCTAATGTTTCCAGAAAAACATTGAGTAGGAGTGGTAATAATGAATATCTTTGTCTTGTTCCTGATTTTAGGTTGAAAATTTTTAGTTTTTGTCCATCTAGTAGAATGTTGGCTCTTGGTTTATCATATATGGTTTTCATCAGATTGAGGTAAAGATGATCTATTCTTATTTTCCATAGGGTTTTTATTACGAATGAGTGTTGGATTTTGTCAAAAGCTTTTTCTGCATCTATTGATGTGATCATGTGATTCTTGTCTTTGGCTCTGTTGATATGGTGTAGTATGTTTATCAATTTGCATATGTTCAACTGCCCCTGTTTTCCTGGGATGAATTCCACTTGATTGTAGAGTACAATCTTCCTGATGATTTTGCTACATTTTATTTTCCAATACTTTATTGAGAATTTTTGCATCCATGTTCATTAAGGACATTGGCCCAAATTCTCTTTTTGGTTGGGTCTTTCTCTGGTTTTGGTATTAGGTAATACTTGCCTCCTAGTAATGAGTTAGGGAGACTTGCTTCCCTTTCATTTTCATTGAAATGTTTGAGGAGTGTTGGCAGTAGGTCTTCCCTAAGTTTCTTGTAGAATTCAGCAGTGAATTCATCAGAACTTGGGCTTTTCTTTGTTGGTAAGGTTCTAATTACATTTTCAATTTCATTAAAGGAAATTACATTATTCAGCAGTTTTACATTTCCTTGATCTATCTTTGGTAATTCATATGTTTCTAGGAATCTGTCCATTTCTTTTGTGTTATCGAAACCATGAGTGTAAAAGTTTTCAAAGTAGGTATTAATGATCTTCTATATTTCCACAGGATCTGTAGTGATTTTACTCTTTTCATTTGATATTGCATGGATTTGAGTTTTTTATTTCCTCTTTTTGATAAGGTTTGGTAAGGGGCTTATCAATTTTATTTTTCCTTTCAAAGAATAAGCTCTGGAATACATTAGTTTTTTATATTGTTTTCTTAGTTTCTAACAATGATGTTTAAGAGACATGTGGTTCTTACTTCAGGGCCATAACACTAAGACCTCTAATTTGTTCCCCTTAAATAAGACATCTCGATGGACTAATGTTTAATTAGCTCATGACCAACATAACTATGATTTTCAATTGCACTGATTTCTGTTCTTCTCTTTATAATTTCCTCCTTTCTTTTGGATTTGGGCTTGACTTACTCTTCTTTTTCTAGAAGTGTGAGGTGCAGCATTAGGTTGCTTAGTTGTGTTCATTTGATTTTCCTGATGTGGGAATTTAGGGTTATAAATTTCCCTCTGAGAACTGCTTTCATTGTGTCCCACAGGTTCTGGTAGGTTGTATTTGCATTTTTGTTTAACTTTAAATATTGTTTAATTTCCTCTTTAATTTCTTCTGTAGTACATTGGTTGTTTAGGAGAGTATTATTTAATTTCCATGTGTTTATAGGGTTCTTGTTGTGTTTTTTTGTCATTTATTTCCAATTTTATTGCACTATGGTCAGATAATAAGCATTTACTTAAGCGTGTTCTGTGAGCTAGTATATGTTCTATTTTAGAGGATGATCCATGTGCAGCTGAGAAAAAAAAATGTGTACTCTGATGTTGTTGGGTAGAACACTCTATGCACATCTACTAGGTCCATTAGTTCAGTAGTTTGATTCAGTTCTGTTATTTCTTTATTGATTTTTCGTTCATTGATCTGTCTCTTTGTGGCAATGGGGTGTTAAGGTTCCCCATTATAACTGTATTATTACTTATTTGACTTTTCATGTCTATTAATATTTACCTTCTATAGTTGGGTTCTCCCATAATTGGTGTATAGAAATTTATGATTGTTATCTCTTCCTCTTGAAGTTTTCCCCTAGCAAGTATGAGTGACCTTCTTTATCTCTTTTTGTCATTATTGGTTTGAAGCTCACATTATCTGCAAACAGAATAGCTACTTGTGCTTTTTTTCTAGTTTCCTGTGCATGGAGTATTGTATTATTTTCTATCCTATGACTTTTAATAATTTTCTTTTGAAGTTAAATGCATTTCTTGTATACAAGCATACTCTTGGATTTTGTTTCTTAATCTACTCTGTCAGTTTCTTTTTACTGGTGAGTTGAGGCCATTTACATTGATGGATATAATTGATATGTACTCACTTGTCTTTGTCATGTTATCTTTCTGTTGTTGGTTCTCTACTTTTTCTCTCTGTGTAAGTCTTTGCTCTGCTTGGTGGTTTCCTTCTTCGGTTGTTCTTGGAATTGTAGTCATCTTTACCTCTTTCTAGAATATCTTTCAGTACTCTTTGTAGTGTTTGGTGGCCGTGAATTTCTTTTTTGTTCTTTTTCATGGAGAATCTTATTTCTCCATCAATTTTGAAAGATAGTTTTGCACCAATCAGGGATGGAAGTTGTTTTCTCTTAAGACTTGAAATATTTTACTCCAAGCTCTTCTTGACTTGATGGTTAGTGTTGAGAAGTCTGCTGTGATTCTGATAGGTTTTCCTTTGTAGGTCATCTGTTTCTTTTGTCTGACAGTTTTTAGTATTCTGTTCTTGTGCTGAATTTCTAGGATCTCAATTATTATAGGTCTGGGTGAAGATTTATTTTGGTTATGGCTAGTTGGGGTTCTGTATGCATCACTTATCTATATATCAGATTCTTTTCCCATGCTTGAAAAATTTTCTGCTATTAGTTCTGTAAATAGTCTTGTGTCAATTTGTGTTGACTCCTGGTTTTTCATGGACACCTGTCAGACTTATATTGTTTTACTTTGTATCATTTTGTAGCTGTTGAATTGTTGTTTCTTAGTTCCTTGTTATTTATAAGAGACCTTTTCTTATGTGATCATTGGTTTCCATCCTGTCTTCAAGGTCTGAGAGTCTATCTTCAGCTTTATTCAAGCAGTCTTGCCAGCTTTCAATGGAATTTTTAATTTCCTGGATATCTCTTTGAATGTTTCATGTACTCTAATTATTTCTTATGTTTTTCATTCAAGTTTTCCATCATTTTCTTATGTTCCTCTATTTTTTAAAATCTATATCTTTTTTTTAGCTACCTCAACATGTCTCTCATGTTTGTCATTTCTTTTCTTACCTGAGAGATTTTTTGTGATCGTATTTCTTCTATAGCTTCACAGAGTGGTTTCTTCAGTTGCTATCATTTCAGAAAGTTCAGTTGTGCAATTTTCAATATCTTCCACTTCAATTGTCTCCTGGGTTTGTTCTTCGTGGGCTGAAGGAATGAGACTGTATCTTGCTTTTTTGTTTTGTCATTTTCCTCTTGAACATGTCTAACTCACCTGGCATCCTTTTGATGAATTTCACTGGGATGGTGAGCTGAGCAGAGCTTCACTACTCAGATACCCATGTGGCTAGCTGGAGTGTTACCCCCGAACTATGGCACCATGTGCTGTGAGGGGCCATGTGCTGTGAGGGACAGAGGTGAAAATCTCCAGGACTTGTCAGCTAGGCTTGCTGCTCCTTGATGCATAGCTCTGGGGCTCTGGCTTGGCAGGGCTTGGGGACCTCTAGGATCTGTGCAGCTGGCCAGGTTTTCCCCCAATGAGTTGTCCTGGGATGCTGCACTGAGTAGAGCTCAGATCTTCTGGAACCCATGAAGCTAGCATGGATGCATCCCTAAAGTATAGCCCCTCAGGGCCTTGCATCTGGATGGACTGAATTCAGAACCTCAGGGACTTATGTGACTAGCCAGGAAACATCCCTGGAGTGTCAAGATTAAATACTTTTGTAGAGTGAGAGGTGAAGAAATGTCTTCTGAACTGGCCAATGAGTATTTAATAAGTAATATTAATAACAGCTATTGTTTGTTGTTCACTATAGGCCAGAAACTCTACTAAATGATAATGCATTCAACTTATAAATAAAACATTCACTTATTTTTGTATATGTTAGTTTCTTATTTGACCTCTGTGAATTGTATCAAAGAGTCAGTATGTAGTGTGTTTGACTGTGGCAGCAATAAGGATGTGTTACTTTGGAGACTGGGTTATAAAAGATCTCACGGCTTACTCCTTGTTCTGTCTGGGTCCTGGGGAGAAGCCAGCTGTCCTGTAGTAAAGATATCTGGGTAGCCTTGTGGGAAGCCCCACCTGGGAAGGAAGCAAAACCTCCAACACCTGTGTAAATGAGCCATTTTTCAAGTAGATCCCTGAGTCCCAGTCAAGTCTTTGGATGACCACAGCTCAGCCAAAGCTTCACTGAAACTTTATGAGAGACTCTAAATTATAAAGAATTGTCCTGGGCAAGGCTGATGTTATGTCTCCTCAAGGAACAAGGGCATGTTGGAGGCAGCCCTGGGAAGCTGACCAGGACTATATTTTCTTCCATCACAAGGTGGGATATAGACTAATTTTATTAATGAGCTGGCTCCTTTTTACCTCGCCAGTATCAACTCTACTTCTTTCTTCCAGACAGATCTTCATTTGTTCTTCTCATGACTGATTCCTTCCTACCTTTTGGGCTTGGTTTACATGTTGCCACTTCATGGAGTACATCTCTGACTGCTCTAAAGCAATAGGTCCCCTCCCTGTATCTGTTTTTCTCCTTTTGCACATAGAACAATTTGTAATCATTTTTGTATTTCACTTTATTTTCTGATTATAAGATTTTATTCTTTGCCAAGTAAGATACGAGTCATGACTTTTTTGGAAACAATGCATTCTCAGCACCCAGTCCATTCCTCGGCACATTCTAAGTGCTTAGTAACTACAGGATATTTATTTTTGTATTTCTCAAAGAGCTTTGCATCACTTTTGCCATTTAATGAGTGATCCTTGAGGCTTCGTATGATCACTTTTTAAAACTGTAGCTGACTCTTCTCCTCCTTTGTCCCTCTATCTAACCCCAGCACTCTGCTTTGTATTTTGAGGCCTAAGTATTTTCTTCTAGTATGTTTTGTAAATTATGGAATACTTTGTTTATTGTCAGCCTCTGTCTACTGGAATGAAAGTTATATGAGGATAGGCATTTGTGTGTATTCTGTTCATTTTTTAGTTCCTTATTATGTGAGTAACTCTTCTGAATGCTATATAGGAATATTTGATCCCAGGAACTAAATTTTTAAAAATTAAAGCAACAAAACTATAGTCATACCATAGATTTCAAATTCTTCAGGTACAATGAATTTTTATTTAATTTAAGAAAACATTTGAAGTTTTACATTATATCACATTCTTATCTTGTTTTATACTTCTTTTGCAATGGTGTTTTAAGAGCAAAAATATATTATACATGGGGATTTTATTAAAAATGACCCACATGTAAATATTTCCAAGTGGTACATCTTTATTCTAGAAAGTAAAAAGATAGGCATAAAGAAAAATCCTATAAATTATTCTTAATTGTTGCTAATATTTTGAGGCATGTTCTCTTAAATTTTCTTATGCATAATATTCATACACTGTATTTGAAAGCAGAAATCTGTTTTGAATGTTAGTAAGAACCAACATTTATTTTGTCTTCTAATATCTATCGGGTGCTTTATATATACTTAAGTGCTTTTAGATATTTATTTATTTGTATTGATCTCATCCTTACAACTTCATCTTCTAGGTCCTATTACACATCCTCATTTTCATATGAGGAAACTGAGGCACTAGATCTGATAATTTGCTTGTAGTCATATAGCTTATGAGTGACAGAACTGGGATTTTGAACCAAGATAGCAGAATCCATGCTCAGAATCACTATTCTTGCTCTCTCCAAATTTTGCTGTAACTAATCCCCATCATCAGAACGTTTCCGCAGATGATGCCTGTATTTTTTCAACATCACTTATAAAGACTGTGTAACATTTCAGCACATGGGTGCTCAAATTCTCCCAGTTTTAAAGAATTGGTTTTTTTCTACTATGAATAATGCTACACTACACACTTTGAAAATTAATCTTCACTCATCTATATGATGATTTCTTAGGTCAAACTTCTTTACTGGTGTATAACATTCAGCAAAAATCTGCACCTTAAGGAATTTACAAGGGACCATTTTGTTTTATGCATCTGGATATTATGGATTTGTTTCATGAATTTCCGCCTGTATTTCCACTGGTCTTTGTCCAATGACTGCTTCTGTTAAAAATCCACTTGGTAACTTGTGCAAGTGAAAATGTATTCTTAAACTGAGACATTTTGATTGTGGGAAGAGCTAAAAATGATCATGAAAAATTCAGAATTAAATCCCAGCAAAAATTGAGCAAGTACAGCAAATGTGTACACTTAACATTGCAGGCAAATTGGAGTGTATTTGAAGCCAAACAGAGATCTTATGTAGATATGGAGCAAATTAATCTATGTCAACTTATATTTTTAAATACTTGCCTTTTAGAATAATTCAAGTTCTCTCTTGCAAGAATTAATCTATCTTCTCTTTGACATTTATAATTGTTGACTTGACAGCATTTACTTAGAAGTTTTTTGGGTAGTATAAAGTATTTATGTTGGAAAATTAACATCATTAAATGACATGCCACCTTTTGGGTGAAAACACTGAATATTTTTGCCTCATAAAAGTGTTAGCCTGACTGTCTTGCTAGATTCATGGTCCTGTTCCTGGGGAAATTCTATCAAGTATTTCCTTTGCAAATATTAAGAAACACACAGCACAGTTATACCTGAGGTTTACAAGGTGGTGTGTATGTGCACGTGTGTGTGAGTGTGTGCTCGTAAATATGCTTGTGTGTCTGAACATGCACTCACACATACTTGCAGAATAGATTGCAGAAAAGGAGCCACAATGCAAGATTTGAGTAATGGCTAGATGAATAGAATACCCAGAAGCCGTTTTTGCCTCAGCAACCACAACTCTCAGTAACATTGCCGTACAATTAACTTAAAATTTATTCAATGAGCATTTATTGAGGATAAGATGTGCTCTATACTGTTTTAAACACTGAAATACAAAGATTAATGAAAACCTCAAGGAATTCATGGCATTGCGGAAAAATTATCCAAGTGAGTAATTAGAGACCACGAGATAACGTCACAAATAATGATAAATGCAAGTAGCAGAATCAGAATGGATCAGAGAGGAAAGGGAGTTAGGGCAAGCATCACAGAGAAGAGCTCACATGTGTTAGTCTGGAAGGATACCCTCAACAAGTGGCTAAGGTGGGAAGAAATTGTTTGAAAGCACGGAAGTGTGAAAAAGCATGCACTATGCACAAGAGTTTTAAGTCAGTGGTAGCGAACCTATGGCATTCATGCCACAGCAGGCTATTTGTATCATTGAAAGCTCTAAAAGATTCTCTGTCTCTAACTTAAATCATAGAATGATCCTGGAGTCAGAAGAGCCTGAGTCACTGCACTCTGATCATAGGGCTTATGAAGGGATCCTGAGATCATTAATCCTATTAGCCATGTTTGACTTAAGATTACGTTCTCTGAGAAAAACTCAGGGATTACTGAGAATTTGTGAAGCTCCTTAGTATTCTATTGTCGACTGATTTTTAAAATGTTATCTGTGACTTTATTTTCCACTCTTTGAAGTACATATGTTTCCAGAGAGACATTTATCATAGTTTTTTTATCTGTCACCAATTGTGTTTGGTCCTAAAAAGTTTCCATTTCATAGAAGAAAGGTACTAAATATTTGTTGATTGAAATGTTACCAGATAGTTATAAAGACTAAGTTAATACTTTGCTTCAGGGAACTTCCAGTTTTGGAGAGATGAGCCATAAATAGGTAAAAGATTCCCAGTGCAAGATTTGAATACTGGTTACATGCAAAGAGAATTTACTAAATTATTATAAGCTCTAAAAATTAATTCAAGGTTTATTACTATGCACTAATATTCAAGGTCTTGAGAAGTTAATATTAAGGGTCATTAAATACTATCCAAGGTCTTGAAAATGTATAGCAACATGATATTTTACTATTGGTAAATTGTAGTATGTAGTTTTAGCAACTAATTTTTAAATAGGACATTGATAAACTAGAGGCGTAACAGAGATCTATATGATATTCTTATAAGGTCCATTTCTGTGAGTAGACTTACTAAGTCAAAGGTTTTAAACAAGTTTAAGCCCATAAGTTTCCAAAATATTTGTACCAATTTGTGCTGTCATGCACAATGCATTAACATAAATTTTCACCCATAACTTTGTCAGAGTTGCAGCAATGGCAATATTTAAGTTTTTCAAATATGTCAATTTAATCAGGATGGACTACTGTAATTTTAATCTTACTGTAATTTTAATCTTTTTGTTTACTAGTAAGGCTGCCTAATTTTCATTTATTTATTAGGGTTATTTTGAAGTCATTTTCCTGTTGGCACCATAACCCAAAAAGGGGGAAAGAAAAAGTTATTTTGAAAATGGGGAAAATTTAGGAATATAGGTGCAAGGCACTGGTGCCGTGTCAGTATATTTTGTGGCTAATGAAATAAACTTCACTTTAGGAGGCTTAAATAAAAATGAAAATTTAATAATTTACCTAATTTAGATTTCCTGAGAAAAGATTTGGCTTCAGGTACAGTTTGGAGCTTAAATGGTGCTACCAAGACCTGTTCCTGGATTCTGTCACCTCCATTTACAAGCCTGTATTCAAACAAGCTCTCCTCTTGTGGTTGTTAGTAGCTAGAGCATTGCCCACATTCTCCAGTTCCAGGTTAAGTTTCAGATGGAAGTGCTGACTCCTCCTGATCTCACTGAGTCTGACTGAGTCACTTGAGCATCCTGCACCAATCATGGAGGCTGGAGAATGTGGATTTTTAATTGCCTTCGACATGGGTCACATGCTTCACTGCTAAAGCTGCATTGGAACTGAACTCTTAACTGTGAAGACTGAGAGAAGAGGATCCACAGGAAATCAGAAGTACAGTGAATAGAATGAAAATATCCATGTTCACCAGAAAAATCTTTATTTGAGAAAGACAGGAGCTTTGCAATGCATGCATCCCTGGGGATACAGAGGTCAAAGGATGAAATGACTATGGCTTTACGTGACCTCAAGCTGCCTCTGATTCAGCTGTGATTCCTTTCTCACATGTCAGCCTATCAGGGTGTGAGCTTCTCTTTCTCCTTACACTCCCTCTTGCTTACGTCCATTGCAACTGAGTCTGGTCCTCCACTTCTGGTCAGGAAGGCATCTCTGGAGACAGAGCCTGGAGACTATTCTAACCTATTGTCTGACAGCCCCAACTCTGTCTTTTTTACTCAACTCTTTGATACTGGGCCTGGGACTTGGCAAACCACGTTTCTCCTTTGCTGTGTGATTCCCTGTTGGGCTCTGCCAATACTGGAGGGGAAGCCAGAAGAAGACGTGGCACTAGATAAGAAAGAAGCACCATGTTCCTCCCTATTTACACAACCCAGCAATACTTCTCCACCTTGGGAGTCATACTTGCATTCAGTAGCAGCTGTTGATTCCAGTCTGTAGTTTTTCTAAGGCTCTCTGATTCTGCTATTGGTGTCCTCTGAGGCACTGGCCCTTGCCAACCAGCATCTCCTGGGAGTCTAAGTCTCAGCCCTGCCAGAGGCTCTAAACTGCAGATGGACTGACACCTGCCAGAGAGCGTCCCCACCTCAGAGATCTGGGCTTGCTCTCCGCAGCACCCTTCCTCCCAACTTACAAATTTTAATAATATCAGTATCTTCTTTGTTCCCTCAGCCCTCATTGTGGTAGCTGTTTCCTCCAACTACTACATTTACCAGACTCCAATGTCTCTTTTTGGTCTTTTCAGTTTTTCTAGTATCTGGTTAATTCTTTGTGTTTAACTATTTTCACTAAAATAACTGATGGTGGCAGAGGCCTGACTGAACTCTGACTGAGGCAGTGGCGGTGCCAGCTTGACTGTCATTCTGCAGTCCTTTGAGCTAAGCTTGAAGAAGAGCAATCTGATGAAAAATTAATATTGACTTTCTGTTTCTCTGATGCTGAGGTCTGAACCTCCAGGCCCTGCCTGGTTTTTACAGCTGCCTTGCCGGGTATCACCCTGACTCTTGTGTTATAGGTGCATGAAACTTCCTTCAATTTTTCCAGTGTGCAATGCTGTGTCACCATCAGGGCACCGAACATGACTTTTCTGCGCTAAGAATATTGATTCTGTCTACTCTTTAACCTGAAAAGCTCTCACATATTCTTCAGGTGCCAACAGAGATGTTACTTCCCCTGGAAGCCTGCAGTTCTTTGCCTCTATTGCAGCATCCTGTACGTTCCTTCTGGGGGTACACATTATGTCCTTGTCTTTCTTATTCACTGGATTGCAAACTCCTTGAAAGCAGTACCTGGAACTCAAGAGATACCTTAAAAATATTTGACAAGAACTTCTTTAGAAAATTTCAATGCCTTCTTTTTACTATTATGAAGCAAGGACACAATTTCAGCTACCATTACTGCTGATACAAGTCACGCCCTAAATGACTACTGAGAGTTTCATGTCTCATCCAAAGGACAAGCTAATGTTGTAAAAATTGCTATCTGAGATTTGAGGGCAACAAACAAGGTGCTTTTAAGACCTGGGACGTCTCTGAAGCTTCCATGTGTCACACTAGTGATGAAGGTGAGCAGAGATCAGCTATTGATTCATTAGGTTAAAAGCCTTCCCATCATCCAGAGCAACTGGAGACCTTGTGTCAAAGATATTCAGCAATAGAAAATGTCAAGCCCTTGCACATACGATTCCAGGATGCTAAGGCGAGGCCCTGCATATTAGAAGGAATACTTGGAATGTGTCTGCCTTTACGAGGTTGTGCCATGTAATAAAAACAAAATACCAAAACAACAACAACAAAACTTGCAAAAAAACAAAGACTTGAGAGTCCAGACTTGGTTCAAATCTTGGCTTGGTTCTAGCTTCATCAGGTAACAAAAACTTCTGTGAAATTTTTAGTTTATTTGGGGAAATAGAGCTTATAGCATCCATTTTACTTATTTGTTCAGAACTAAATAAGATAATTGATTTAACGCATATAACATACATTGGGAAATATTTGTAGTTTGTAGAAAATGACCTCATTCATTCACTCATGTATTCAAAAAATCATTGAACATTTCATAAATGCTAGTGATTTATAAGAGAATAAGTTAGAAATGTCCTTCCCCTCATGGAGTTTTTACTGGTGGGATACAATCTGAAATGGAAAAAAAATCTGTAAATAAAAAAAGGACAATTTTGTCAGTTGAGTTAATGATGTGCTTTTACTCCCTTCTTTTCTGACCTAGGATGTAGTCTAGGGTCACATGTTGCACTTGGTTGTCACATCCTGTGTTAGTTATCTTTACTCAAGAGGCGTTCACTGGCCTTTCACTGACCTTCATGACACTGATGTTTGTTGAAGAGTCCAGGACACTTACTTTGTAGACTGGCTTTGTCTGACTGTTTTTTTTTTTTTTTTTTTAAACTGCACATTTTAAGGGCATAAAGCCAGCAAACGGCAGAGCTAAGACTTGAGCCCACCTTTCCTGACCCTTTATGTTGTGCACTTTCCTTTTAAAAGCTTCTAAGAGAGCTTGAGGTCAGGAGACCTCATAGCTCCATTCCCCAAACAGTCTGTTAACACAGCTGGGTTGTTAAATAATAGCAGTATTGACGTAGTAGCAACCAGAGAGAACACCTCTACCTAGGTGAACCTGGCTATTTTCTTGGTTGTCTTTAATATCTCTGAATCTGAATGACAATTTTTTAAAAAAATCTGTACTTATTTTATTACTTTTCTGTCATCATCTCTCAAGGTGACAATTTGTCCTACTTTAATAGAGCAGCTGGAAAAAACATTAGGAAAATTAGACCCAGTATAGGTAGAATGCCATAAGATCATTTCAGTGCTATTATGATGTACTTTTCAGAACTGCAGGACACTGAACAAAAATGCACTAAAATTTAAAAAAAAATCCCTTTTTATTTGGAAAATTCTTTTTAAAAGCTGAACAATTGCAGCAGCTAATCTATAATTTACTCAAATGTTGGGTACTTTATTATATTGATATGCTATGAGTTAGCTCACTAAATTTTCTCCAAGAAATTGGGAGACAAAAGAGGCAAGTAATTGGTGCTCTGAGTCCATGTTCTGCCTTCCATTTCATGAATTGCATCACACATACATTTTAAAATCTGCCCAGATGTTTTTTTTTTTAAGTCTCCAAAGCAGCCCAAGATGAACTTTTACAGCTTTTGGACTTCTAGCAGAGCATTTTGCTGCTGTTCCAAAAATACGGTTAGAGGCTCTCTTTGGCTGGGGCTGGAAAAGACCCTTTCCCACCAAGTTCTTGTTGCTATAGGGTATGATGGTGCTGAGAATGAAGGGATATTTCAAATATGTGTCTCATTGATGAGAAGTGAAGTGATACAAGTGGTTGTACTGTTTATTCATATTGTGAATGACTTGTTATTCATTGACCGTCCACTTTTAGCCAGGACTGCGCCAAGAGGATGATTTAAAAATGAGTAACTCAAACACTGTCTCTCCCCTCAGAGACTTCGGTCTTGTGTTGTGGGCTGTGGGTTAGGCAATTACACAGGCTCAGCATGGGACACTATATGAGGTCACTTTACCTACCTGCCATCATTCCTCCCTCTGCTGCTATCCAACTGCCTCCTCTCACAGGGAGTTTCTCTATAGTCTTAGTCTTTGCCCGAGTTCAGGCACAAGGAGGGAGCAGAAGTCAGGCTTTCTGAAGATTGCTTTGCCTTGGGGGATCTCATTCTGTCTAAAGGCTGGGATATCCCTGAGTAGAGGCAGTGCTAATACCACTTGGTAATAATAATCACAGCCGTAATGTTCACCATCTTGCCTCACTTCCTTATGCTGTTCTGCTGCATTTTCTTCAGTTGGTCAACTTCCATGCTACACTGGTTGATATGGAATAAATTGTGTCCCCCTTCTAATCCTAATTCATGTATTGAAACTCTAACCCCAGTACTTTGGAATGTGGCTTTATTTGAAGATAGGCCTTTTAAAGAGGTGACTGTTAGAATGAGGCCATTAGGATGGGTTCTAATCCTCGGTGATGGGTGTCCTCCTCGGAGAGGAAATGCAGCCATGTATTCTATGCAGGTGCACAGAGGACATCCAGGGAGCATGTGGGGAGAAAGTTCCTGTCTGTAAGCACAGGAGAGAGTCCTCATAAGACATAAAACCTGCTGACACCTTGACCTTGGACTTCCAACTTCCAGAACTGAGAGAAAATAAATTTCTATTGCTTATAGTTCACAGCACTTGTTACAGTATTCATAGCAAACTGATGCCCTGGTTGTAATATAGTTTGGACTATGCTTGGTAATAATACTTTTATTAAGTTCATGCTAAATTTTAGAGCTAACATGATGACTTCATTGCATTGTTAGATACTTTCTGAGTAGTCTTATTCTCATTTTGAAAATTAGATAACTGAAATTTGGAGAAGAATGTGATTTACCTAAATTTACAGAGCTACAAATGGGCTGAACTGGGTTCAAACCCAAATCTTTCTTACAATGGTGCCTCATTTCTTAACCACAATGCAATATTTCCTGGAAATGCTGGTTTTCTCTGCTTCCTTTTCCTACTGTAAATGATGCTCCTTCTTCCTCTATGGACTTCTGCTTCTTTTCTTTGGAGCACTAGCTACAATTTATGATTATAAATTAAATTCTATGATCATGCATTTCTGTGTTTGCCTTTCTCAGTAGTTCTCAATGTAGTGCTGTGCTTATGGGGTTGATTTTGGAACAAGCAGTGTTGCAAGCCTTATTAATTTTTCTACTAGGTAAGAACTAGCCAACCCTTTGTGTATAGAGAAATAATCCACCTCACTGGGCATTGGCAAGCAGTAGCAATTAGTACTGGCCTTTTTAATTTATACCTTAATATTGTGCACACGTGTCCTCAGGCATGAAGCGCGTCCCTGGACCTTACCACATGGCAGCACTGGTATTTGTTCTCCTGTTGATTCCTGTCATGAAAAGCCCTCTTGACTAGGAGGTTCTAGGACTCATTTTTCCATTTTTAAAATGCATTTCAAGACAGGAAGCTGTGAGCTACATGGTGCTTTCATGGAGGATTTCCCACCTTCTTTTATCTTGATTCTCCATCCTGTTAACATCTGGGTGGAGTGGTAGTGCTTATTTTGTACTTGATGAAGTCTAAAAAATAATCAATCCAGATGTGTTACATCGGACTGTGGCTCCTCAATGAACAAGATCCCAGAAGATACTTGTTGTAAAGGTAACACTGTGTTAATCACCTACTATAGCCAGTATAATATTGTGATGATAATGGTTATTATTTCTCCAATAATGTTCTCCCACCAGAGATGGAAACCTAGTTAACATTTACCCTCAACCAAAACTGTTGGAAAAACTTTATCTGCCTCCCAAGGGCTGAATTTCATAAAGACAGATGATCTTTTTTTCTCTATGTAGGCTTTTATTTTTAGATTTGCTGCTTCCTCCCCCACTTTCCTTCCTATTTAATGGTTTTAGAAAAAATGAATAGTATTCTACATTTTTATATTCTAAACATCACTCCTGCATAATTCTACTCAGCTCTTTGTTGTTCTTTTTTCCAAGTTATGGTTTTAAAAATAATCTAGAACTAATTTGTCTAATGAATATGCAATTATGGCAAGAGTCTTTTTGAAGTTTTTGAAAACCTTCCGTCAGCATGTTTCTGGGACATGGAAATGAATGTAGCATCAGGCACTTGGAAGCTGTTTCTAGTCTGGCATGAGCAGGTATCATTTCTCCACATTTGAAAGCTGGGCATGATGCAGACATTTTCTGTGTACTTACTGTGGTTAGCTTAGTGTGGTTGCTTTCTAGCTTAGCTCCTTCTGTTAGTGCATCATTCCTATTGGAATGCAGGGGCTGAAATAAGGTTGGACAGCCATAGCAGAATATATAGGAGAGGTGCAGGCACAGTTTAGTTCTGTCTCAGCTCATGCCCAAAGCTTACAAATCATAGATACTACTTAGAGTGGGCCTATGTCACGCGCGGCACTTTACATGTATCTTAATCTTTATGTAAGCATAAACCAGAGAGCAAGGAAATATATCCACTATTTTCTAATTAAGGAAAATGAGACGTGAAGAGGGTAAGAAATTTCTTAAGATCACTTAGGTAGTAAGTAGCAGAGCCAATGTTCTTATCCACTTATCACTGGGCTCACTTTCTGTGCAAGGCTTCATGCTATGCAGTTTGTCAAGTCTAGAAATGAACTTGACCTGGATTCTACTTGCAGAGTGTTTACTTTCTAGTAAAAGAGAAGAGACAAGCAGCCATGATATGTAGCCAAGAAAATTCAGAAAAAAGACAAGAGAGAGGGCCATGCTATGAATGTGGAAGTGAAGGAAAAGGAGAAAAAAATTCATCACTGTAGAGATAAAATTTAGCCTTACAGGAGGACCAGTTTCCCAAAGTTTTTGCATATGCATGCTTGCTTCCTGCCTACTGTGCAGTTTATGGTTTTGAAAGTGGCCCCTGGACAGAATTTTTCAATAATTGTTTTTGACCTGGGGAAGCAGCTTCCCCCTGTGCATTTTTTCCTCCAGCACCTGAGTGAAGAAGCCAGCTGGGCTTTCTCCATTGCCAAAGCAGGCAAAAGCATCCCAACCCCAACTGAGGGATTCATTAGCGGCTGCTGTCAAGTTGCTGTGATCACAGGCTGTGACAGGCACAGTGCCTTTGCAGCCCTCACTGGGCACAGGTCATTGTTGTTCTCCATTAAACAGCACAGGGCTTGTTGCTGAGTGCCAGAACGTGACACCTTGTGAACTGTGGCCTTTCTAGGTGATTGTTTTTCTTTGTTCTGGCAATTGGAACAAAGTGATTTCACCCATTCGCAGTCTTTATTTTTCCCTTTGTGGCCAGCATTTATGTCAATGTCTTTTTTTTTTTTTTGGTTGCTGATTCCAGAAGCATTGCAACTAACGTAAGTACTTTAAGGAGAATTTGACAGAAGAATCTCAGTGACTAAACCCAAGAAACAGAAAAGTCATCAGGAGTCAATGCAGTTACTTTCTTGGTAGTTATTTCTGATGGATTTCATGTACTTATATTTCTGGTTGTTTCTGCACATCTGTTTATTCTCTATCAAACTGTTTGGGAAGTTATTTCTTTGCATATGTTCATGCCACAGTACAGTTTGCCGTATCTCTAACTATTGTCCTACTTTGAACTACCAGAAGTTTATCGAGGCTCTAATGTTTCAGCTGAGTGTACGGAGCCACCTACTCAGGCCTGGTCCAATCAGCACAGCCTAATGTAGGGGTGGTGCAGGTTAACCTGGACTGCAGGCTCTCTTGTCAGCTGGAGCCTCTGAGGGGGACACATTTCACAGAGAAACAAGTAGTGAGCAGGTATTCACACAGGTAATCATATATTTATGAATCAGGAATATGACATGATTTCAACTTTTCTCAGGGGTCAATGCAGCATGCTAAGTAACCATAAGAGGATATTATCTTTGGATGTTTGTTTCTTTCTTCTTGGAACAAATGGGATTCACTGGGCTATGAAAAGAAAGAAGTTCATGAAAATATTTATAGAATTCAAGCTAAACCTTCTGGTGAAGGAAGAGAGGCTTGAGTTGTTTTCAACTAATGGGATCAGCTGATGTTACTTAAATACACAAGATAGTAGTTTGAGCATTTCATCAAAACAGCAGTAAGACTTGAATGGTTCTCACTGTCATTTGGGATATAGAATTATCTCCATGTCACATGCCTCTTCTGCAGTGATACAGAACTTCAAAACAATATCAAATCAACAATAGTTACCATCATGCCTCTTGTTGTCTTCAAAATCGGTAGATACCTTCAGACATAGTAAAAATCAAACAGAACAGAACAGAACCAATAAGAACAAAACAATGAATGCAATAAAGGACTTCAAAATAAGACAGTAGTAAATCCAAAATGGCTACCGTAATATATCTTGTATCTTTGAAATAGCTTACATGCTATTGGATATAACAAAATCAAACAAAACAAAACAGAATAAAACCCAACCCAACAAAACAATGAAAATGATACAGGACTTCCAAACAAGATAATAGGAAATTAATAATGGCTGCCACCTTTGGAAGGAGATCCCCTATAGATGCCATACTGCATACCATTATCTTCTGAATAGAAGATCAGACCACCGACCCGAGACCTGCAAAGTCAGTAAAACATCAAACACCACATACATCAAATTTCATTTCACCTTAATAGCTATCACTGAAACCTGTGTTTCTCAGGATTACAGAGTAGGTGGGCTGGAATGGTTGGCCCTTCTTGTTTTCCAGCCAGCATGCTGGAAGGGGCTGGAGTCTGCCTGTTCCCTGGCAGCAGCAGCCCGCATCTGGTCCTGGTTCACAGAGAGGGCTTGCTTCCTGGAGACTTCTTGTTCTCTTTCCCTGCAGTCTGCAAATGGGGCTGACTCATGGAAAAGGCTGAGGTCTGGCTGTCCCCTCTGGCAGCAGCGGCCCATGTGTGGTGCTGGTTTGCATGATCATTTTATTTCTTTGGTAAGGTTTCCCATAATCTGCATTTTGCTGATTTTATTCATGTGGTATCATTAGAAGTATTTTTATATTATCTATATTTTCCACTAATTGATAACCAGATTTAAAGTTTCAATGAGTAAGAATTTTGATTTTTATTCTAACAATTCATAAATGGTGACATTTATTTTTATCAGAAGTCACATAATACCCGGCTGTGCATTTTTGTAATGACTTTAACCACTGATTGTTACCTAGAGACATTACTATTCAATTAGGGATAGAAAAGATGGTGATGTTCTAATTTTATCAATTCTTTTTCACTATTTAGAGTATTTCTATAATAAATAGCACTGCTCAGAAAAAAGCATGTCAAATGCTTGATTCTTTCTATTTTTTTTAGCATCCTCCAAAAATGACCCATAATTATTTGGTTGTTTGTGTCTTTAACAGCTTTATCACCAGGTGCTTAAATGTGTGTGTTGTCTTTCATTCTATTGCAGTTACTACTTTTAGTCATGCTTCCTTGTGATTCTGTCACTCACTGTGTGAATGTGGCAAGTTGATTCATACATAAGAGTTCAACAAACACTTTCTGTAAAAGATCAAATAATTTTTTCACATTTTAAAATAATCCTTTAGAAATGTAGTGGATGGACCTTAAGACTATAATGTTAACTGAAATTAGCTACACATAGAAAATAAATATCACATGGCTTCTCTTATATGAAAAACCCAAAATATAAATGCATTCATACATATACAGAGTCTGCCAAAAAATGTACACACTCTTCAGCAGTTTGCTAGACTAATAAATATTTGGAACCCAATGGCCTCCACTTTAAGCACCTTTTGCAATTTTAGAAGCCAAAGATAACTAGTAACCGTATGTCTCAATAAATTTAGTATTAAAATATTTCTACAGGTTTCTCTTTTCCTTTTGTGTACATCTTTAACTCTCTCTCTCCCTCTCCTTCTCCATATTTATATATATATAGGTTGGGGAATAAGACCAGATTGTGGTAGGTAAAAAAAAGGATTTTGTTTATCTTTTAGTAGCTTCTTTAACAACAGAGAACTCTACCAAAGGTACTTTTGACACTTGAGTATTTATAAGTGGAAAGTCAATGACCACTGTGGCAATCAGTAGCAAATACTCTTTAGAGTGCGTGAAGGGAGGTGATGTCTTGGGAAATGAGATGATAGAAATATAATTCTCTTAGAACTTGGGACACCTGGAGAATGGGGTGCATTTTCTTTCCTATACTCTGTGCTCCTAGAGGAAAGTGTAGGCTCTTCATCATATACTATGCTGCTAATTTTGTTTGCTTATCATATACTTAACATATATTATCACATGTATCATATATCATATGTGTTTGCTTATCATATACTATCATATACTGTATTTCTATGAGCTTTTAATCATATACTGCACTGTACTGTTTTGTTTACTTATTTATTATATATAGCAAATTTTAAGAACTTGAGAAAACAATAGTTGCTTCTTAGATCCAGCCCATGGTATGAACCATACAACTCACAACCATGGTAATCTTGGAGAACAGTACAAATCCTTGAAGAAAAGTTGAAAGTCAGGAGGTCTGAGTCAAGGTATAAGTCTGCTTAGGCAGAGTTGGAACAATGAAAAACTGATTATCAGTGGTGAAGCCTGTAAGAGAACAGAGTGGGCTATTGGTTTCTGTGATTTGTTTTAATTCAGTCAATATTTCCTGAGCACCTACCACATGCAAAGCAGTGTGTTAACAACCAAAAATGCAAACTAAACACAGAATCAATCTTGTCTTTATGAACTTTCAGGATGATGAGCAAAATGCAGCTTAATCAACTACATATTCAAATAAATGGAGACAGAACTATACTTAGTGTTGTGTTAGGTGTGTGTCTGACAGTATCGTGGGTCAGGGAAGCCTTCTCTGAGAAAGCGATGGTGTTATGGTTTGGGTCTGGATGTCCTCCCAAAGCTTCATGCAGTTATGGAGGTGGGCTTCAAGAGTTTGTGAATGATTTATGGTCTAATGCTGGGATTATGGGTGTGGGTGTTACACCTAGGTGAGTGTGGCCTATATACAATATAAGAGACAGAAAGAGCTTTCTCTCCATGCTCCTCCTCTTGTGGTCTTGTTGCTTGTTTTGTTTTCTGCTGCCATGAACTCTGGTTCACTGTCATGTTCCACTCTCCCTTGGAGCCAGATGATTATGGACTAAAACCTCCACAAACTGAGCTAAATAAACTCTCCCTTTTAACTTTGGGTGTCAGATATTTTGTCCCAGAAATAAGAGAAAAGTAGCAAAAACAGGTGGTGTAGCTGAGATCTGAAGAATGAATTATTTTGGTAAAGAGGTAGGGAAGAGAATTCTGAAGAGAAAATAGCTTGAGAAGAGCAGGTTAGGAACAGTCAGTATGCCTAGAGAGGAGCAGAGGAACTTGCTGCAGAGATAGGCAGGGATAGCTGATACATAGTCTTGGGCTGTGTTCAGGGTTATAATCTTTATCCCCATAACTGTGAATGCTATGATGATGGTTAAATTCCAAACAGATAAACTGTGCTGTGATGAGAAGCAGGCCAGGGATAGGACAACAGGAGCCAGTATTTCTGTTTGGAGGTTACTGTATTTGGATCTATGCCTCACAACAATGACTAACCCTTATGATGTCCACTTCACGAGAGTTTTGTAGTCTATCTGGGCTGGCAGCATCAAGATAAAGGCACCTTGTTGACCTACACACAAGGATATAGATCTATAATACAGTAGAATATACCATAAGTGTACAATTAAGAGTGCTTGTTTTGGATACAAATGTGGTTGCCTTTTAATGACATCCTGATTGTAGTGGTCATCGCTCATTTATAACCAATATCCAAGCTGTCTAGTGTTCTCCCATTCAATATGGTTTCCTAGCAAATAATCTTCAACTACTAGTTTTAGTGTCATTCTACCTCTCGGTGACACAATTAGTTTAAAGGTAACTCTGTAACTTTTCCAAGTAATTGGTCTGGAAATGAATGCCTGATATATTTCTGGCCAATGAGGAATGAAGGGAAGCTGGGGAGCATGAAGAGGTGCTTCTGAGGAAAATTTCTCTTTCATAAGAGTAATCCACAGGAGGTGATTGTAGATTTGAAAACAGCAACTGCCAGAATCTTTGGATGGTAAGAGGCAGGGAGAACTTTGGACCTGACCCGAACAGCACTATTAAGCTATTAGTCAACAAAATCAATCATTTTCAGGGCTCACTGTGCTTCTGACTTCCTGTTACAGGAAATAATAACATTCTTGATTTGAACTTACATTTTTCTGTTCACAGATAACCAGTGATCCAGCTGTGTGTACTGATTGCTGTCTGAGCTACTTTATCTACAATATGGGGTGATAGTTATATGTGTTGCATTGAAATGTAAATGCGAGGAGTATACTATGTAGTGCATTTTATGTGTTCATTTCCTAACAGTTTTTCAATAAATGGTTACTATGGAGGTTAATATTAATCATTTCTCACATGAGTCAGTGAGGATGGGCTCTGATTAAATATGGCCTCATGTCTGATTTGAATACTTGTCAACTATTTGGAAACACAAAAATAAATAGCTATACTTTTTCATCTGCCTAAATTTATCTTGTTGCTGAGGTTTTGTTGGAACATACAAATAGGCTTGAGATTGTCTGGATATCATTTTTTAAAGCCACTTTGATGATCTATTTCAATGCAACCAATTAAATTTGTTGTGGAGATGATTTAATTTGATCATTAGCTTGTCAGAAGGCACCAGCTGGATAATTACAAGAGCCAGACTTTCTCCTTTGGCTGTGGTCTCTGTCTTTTGTTGAAGAATTTAACACATAAGACAAGCACTGTGTAAGGATCATTTTGGCAGTACTTACTCTGTCACAAAGGACCACTGAATCAATTCTGATATTTCTTGAATGTGCAGATCAATAGCTCAGTTCTTCTTTTCCAAAATCCTAATATGACTTTTGGACCACTGTCAACAATTCACAAACTAAGTTTCCACTCTTCAAATGAATTATATTACTCAAAGCCAAAACCAGCTTTTGAGCATCATGTCTATTTAATACTTTTTTGTTTGTTTGTTTTTGGTCTTTACATGCATTCACTCGGTCATTTCTAGACATGCACTTTCTTTTAACATTCTCCTAAAGCCAAATCCACTCCATGGCACTGGCTAGATACTAAACCCATGTATAATTAGCATACTTGGCATCAGTAGGGATAAAGCTAACATATGAGTACCAGTTGTGGTGCTAGGGATTTTATGTGATATTGTTATCTTCACAAAACAGATGCAGTCCCAGAAGCAGAGACACGGAATAATTTGCTGAAGTCTCTAGTTGGTAAGTAGCAGAGATGGAGTTTGAACCCAGTCTTATCTCACTTCCAAGCCCCTTTGCTGAAGAAAGTGTGACATAGTAAGACGCAGATTCTACATGGCCAGAGCTTGACTATATTTGTGCCCAACAGCTGGCTCTCCATTTACCAATGGCATAGTACTAGGCAAGTTATGTTGTTACAATCACCTAATACACATGATAAATGTATTTTTAAATTAAGTGTGTTTATTGGTACATTGTGCGTGCGTGTGTGTGTGTGTGTGTGTATATATATATATATATATATATATATATATATATATCACACTCCTTATAGGGAGTTTGTACCTGTGCATGCTATACCTTGATTCTTCTTTTTTCCAATTCCCTCCTCCTCCCTTTAATAGCTCTTCCCCTCCTTATTAACAAAGTTTGTTTCAATTTTTCCTTATTTTTTCAGTTTTTCCTTTTTCCTTCATTTATCTCTTTCCCCTTCCCAGTTCCCTTCCCATCTGAACATTTTCTTCCTATTTCACAGTATCTATTATACATATTGATCCTTGTTTACACTTTTAGGTGTCTTACACCAGCGAAATGATGTGATATATACATATGTGACTAATTTATTTTACTTAAGAATATGAACTTGAGGTGCAAACATTTAGCTATAAATGTCTTAAGCTTTTTCTTCTTAATGGTAGAATACTACAGTGTATAAAAACTCCAGATTTTATTTATCCATTCATCAGGTGATGGGTGTTTGGGCTATTTCCAAGACTTAACTGTTATAAACTGTGCTGCTATAAACATGTGTGCAAGTATATCTCTCTAATAGGGTGTTTTTTCATTCTTTTGGGGAGATACTGACAAGAAGAATATCTTGGTCAAATGGTACTTGCAATTTTCATTTTCAACAGTGGAGAAGGGTACCTTTTTTTGCACATTGCCGCCAGCATTTGTTATCAGTTTCTTGATGGTTGGCATTCTTTCTGGAATGACATGGAATCTCAGCATTGTTTTAACCTGCATTACTCAAAAGCCAGACACTGAACATTTTTTCCATATATTTATTTGCCATTTGTACTTCCTCACCTGAGAAGTGACTATTCATGGCAGATGCCCATTTTTTGAGTGGGTTTTTAAACTTGGGGGAGGGGGTATGATTTATTGAGTTCTTCAAATAGTCTAGATTTTAGTCCATTGTCTGGGGTACAACTGGGAAAAAAATTTCCCATCCTGCAGGTAGTCTCTTCACTCTGCTGGTGATTTCTTTTGATATATACGAGCTTTTTAATAAGATGAGATCCCAGTTGTTAATTCTTTGTAATATTTCCTGTGCTATTGGAGTTTTATTCACGAAGTCTTTGCCTACACCAATGTTTTCAAGAGTTCTACTTATTCTCTTTCCTAGCAGACTTAGTGTTTCTGTTTAAATATTTAGATTTTTGATCCATTCTGATTTTAGTTTACTGTATGATGAGAGACACGAGTCTAGTTTTGGTCTTTGGCATGTAGAAAGTCAGTCATTCTAGCACCATTCTATTAAACGGGCTATAATTCTTTTAGGAAACATGTTTGGCCTCTTTGTCAAATACCAGGTGACTGAAAACCATATCAAAAATAAAATAAAAAGGAAAGAAAAGGCTCAAATTCATGCTACAAAGAATGAAAAGGGTGAAATCACTATAGATTCTGTAGATATTCAGAAGGAAGGTCAACTAGGAAGGAACAACCTGCTTCAAAGATCTTTACTCTCATAAGCTGGAAAACACAGAAGAAATGGACAGATTCATAGAGGCATATGCATTACCAAAGTTGAATCAAGAAGATAAAAAAATTCTGAAAACCCCAAAATGGTTAATGAAATTTAAAATATAATTAAAATCTTGTTAACAAATAAAAGCTCCAGTCCTGAGGGGTTCACTGCTGAATTCTACAAGAAATTTATAGGAGATTTAATGCCAATACTCCTCAAACTCTTCAGTGAAATTGAGAGACAGGCAATATTCCCTAACTTTCCTGGAGGCAAGTATGTCCATTATCACCATTTCTATTTAATATGGTTCTGGAAATACAAGCTAGAGCAATTAGACAAGAGAGAGAAAATAAAAGAAAAAAGGATAGGAAAGGAAGAAGTTAAATTATGTCTATTTGCAGATGGCATGATACACTACATGCAAGGCTCAAAAAACACCACCAAAAGGCTCCCCGATTTAACAACCAAATTTAGTAGCATAACTGGATACAAAGGCAACAGTTAAAACTCAATAGCACTCCTGTACAAAAACAACAAACTCACTGATAAGAGAGAGAAAGAGACAGACAGAGAGAGAGAGAGAGAGAGAGAGAGAGAGAGATATTAGAGAACACATTTCACAATAGTATTAAAAGCATGAAATATTTAAGAATCAATCTAACAAAGGAAGCAAAAGGTCTATGTATTACAAATTACAATACTCTGAAAAGGGAGATCAAAGAGGATATCAGAAAATGGGAAAATATCCATCTCTTGCTTATAGATATAAAGAACAAGCATAGTAAAAATGGTCGTATTCCTAAAATTGTTATACAGATTTAATGCAATCCTGGTCAAAATATTCTTAGTATACCTCCTAGAACTAGAGAAAACATTCCTAAAATTCATTTGGAACTAGAGAAAATTTAGAATAGTAAAAACAATTTTGTACAGCAAATGCAAAGCAAGAATCATCACAATCTCTTTTCTGGAACTATGTACAAAGCTACTGTGGGTAAAATCAGCAGGATACTGGCAAAAACAAAACAAAATAAAACAACAACAAAACACCCTCCCCCACACACAACAGCAACAACAACAAAGAAACCAAACCTGAAAATCAGTGGATTACATTAGAAGAAGTGGACAAAGCTACAGACACACTCAGCCACCTTATCTTTGACAAAGGGCCAAATGTTCACTGGAAAAAACATTGCCTCTTTAATAAATGGTGTTGGAAAAACTGGATCTCTACATGCCAAAGACCAAAACTAGAGCCATGTTTATCACCATGCACTAAACTAAAGCCAAAATGGATCAAAGATCTAAATATTGAGAAAGAAACACTAAATCTGCTGGAAGACACAGTAGGTAGAAATTTTGAAGAAACAGGGGTAAGCAGATAGTTCATGAATAAAATGCAAACTGCATGGAAAATACTTCCCAGAATCAACAACTGGGATCTCATCTTATTAAAAAGTTTTTGCATGTCAAAAGAAATTTCCAACAGAGTGAAAAGAAAACTTACGAATTGGGAAAATGTCTTATCCAACTGTTCCTCAGACAAAGGGCTTCCATTTAAAACTTAATTTTTTTTTTAAATCAAGCCCTTAAAATTCAAGGACCCAATCTAAAAATGGGAATCTGAGATAAATACACCTTCTTCAGATGAAAAAATATAAATGGCAAATAAATATAGGAAAAAATGTTCAGCATCACTGATCGTTTGAGAGATTGAAAATCACAACAACAGTGAGCTTTCATCTCACTCTAGAAAGAATGGCTATCATCAAGAAATCAGCAAACAACAAATGCTTGCGAGGCTGTGGGGAAAAAGGAACCCTTCTCCACTGTTGGTGGGAGTGTAGAGTGGTACAACCACTGTGAATTAGTATGGAGATTCCTCAAAAAATAGAATTGGAGGTTCCATTTGATCCAGCTATTCCTTTTTCTGGGTATTTTCCCAGAAGAATTAAAAACTTCATACCACAAAACACATGTGTGCACCCATTTTTCTAGCAGCACAACTTGTAATAAATATTGGAACAACTCTAGTACCAATCAAATGAGGAATAGATAAGAGAGTTGTGTTATTTTTATGCAATGGAGTACTACTCAGTTTTAAGAAAGGTAAACTTGAGACTTTTATAGATAAATGGGTGTAACATGAGACCGTACTCATAAATGAAATAAGTCAGAGTGACATATGTGTAAGAAGCTGAAATATTAAATAAAACAAAATGTACACTAAATATTGTGAAATGGTAAGCAAGTCTTCAGAGGGAAAGACAATCTGGGATGAAGGAAAGAAGGAAAAAAAGAAAGGAGAAGAAAAAATATGTATACACACAAGGCAGTTAAGATATTTATACTAGTGATTTGTACTAGGTCATTGAAAAAGGAGGTTTTTGCTATATTGTTTGATCAAATTTTTGTGCCTCTATTTTGTAACCTGAGAAACTACTTTAATATGTAACACGTTAACCATTGTTACTCCTATTGCCTCATTTTGAATTTTATTTTATTTTTCTCTTTAGGTAAAAGATCAGATGACTGAGGGTGTTAGGAGTAAATTATACTTCAAAGTTACTGTGAGAAAAATAACATGAACCCAACAAGAAAACAGATTCTAGAATCAATGAAAGAGGTTAGAAGGCGCAGAAACAACTCCAAAAAAAATGTACCATTTAAAAGCAAAACAGAAATATGTGCTTTTTGACATTATATAAATATGCCTTTATTGCACGGGTTCCACTTTGGAGTCAGTGTTATTAGTATTTTAAAGTGGAAGTACGAATACTTTTGAACAAGCTGTTTATTCTTTTTTTTTTTTTTTTTTTTTTTGGACTTTTCCCTTTTTATCGGAATCGGGGATCGAACTCACGACTGCCTACTTGCAAGGCAAACGCTTATGCCGCTGAGCTAAATCCCTAGCCCCCAAGCTGTTTATTCTTGACAATAGAGCTAAACTCTTTTGGGTTGCAATTTGAATGCAGTTTTTTAAATATATAAAACCAGTATGTTTCCTATTACACTCAGCACAGAAAGTGGAATTTGAGAGTTAAAAACTAAAACTCCATGGAAAGTATCAACTTAATGGTTAACATTTACACACATTTCTTAGACTTCTCAGGAATTAACTATGAGTGATTATGGTTTTTCCTTGCATATTGAGGTTTAAAAATCAGATGTAATTTTAAATAAAATCCCCGGAATAATATATATGTATGTTGAAAAATAAACTGAATGCTTGTTTTCAAAAGAGTTTATTATAGTAAAAGACACAATGCCATTAATCCCCCGCGTAATACTATAACTCACTTCAAACATGCCCCATATCCTTGCCATTTTCTGAAGCAGATCTGGAAGCTCTTTGTTTTGGTATTTAGTTGCTCTGCTGTGATTCGCTTCATGTTCTGAGTTGATTCAAAACTTTTACTTTTCCTGAACGTTTTAAAGTTGAGAAAGAGCCAGAAGTTGCAAGGCCCCAGATGCAATGAGTGAGGAGGATGGTGCCAAACTTTAATCTTTGTTCAAGCCTTCTTTAGGTTGAATGGCACCAGGCAGCAGTATACATCATGTTTGTGTGCACCTTGTAAAAGCACAGAAGACTAGAACTGCTTCAGAAAGTGGCAAGAACGTGAGATATGTGTGTTCAAAGTTAGGGGAAATATTTGAGGGGATTTGTCCTTTACTGTCCTTTTTTTTTTTTTTTTTTTTTGGCACTGTGTATCAAACTCATGACCTTCTGCTTGCCAGGCAGGTGCTTATGCCACTGAGCTAAAACCCAAGCTACTACTATAACAAAAATTTTTAGAAATTAAACATTTATCATACATTTGGATCGTGCCTTATGTATTCACTAGAGATTTCTCATCTTTTATCATTAACGAAACTTCTCTTTCATTGTCTATTTTATCCCCTCTATCTTTTGTCACCACTAGAGGAGATTTTAAATATTTTCAGTTTGTCACATGTATTCCATTGTTTAATGACTGCATTATTTCTGAATCTGTGTGCTCTAAGCAAACACAAAAACTGGAATAAATTTCATTAGGAGATAAACTACATATCACAAACACTTCACATAAATTCCTTTCTCTGCTTGTCAAGGAGAGACTTGAGAAATGCTTGTCTCTGCAGCCTGCCCCAAGACCCATAAATTGCTTCACAGGATGGGGAAATATGCAGTAAATGCAGACAAATAATAACCACGATCCAAAGGGACTGAGTGGACTGCCTGGGCACTTCCAACGAGCGAAGGAAAAGTGCTGGTCCTACACTGTGCTCACAGGCTCTGCCACTAGGCAATTGGATGAGTGAGTTGAATAGATATATTATAAGCTTAAATTGATCATTTTTTGTGTATGTACCTGTATTATATTTCCCTGTCTGAAACAGGTTCCTTACTTTTCTGGAAAGAACACTCCAGATCTTCCTAGCATGAACCCAATCTATCTCAGTGTCAGTACCTATTGTTTGAGCTGAGTTGATTTATCTCTCTTGCTGCAGGGATGGAATCTGACCTATACCCAAACAATCAGAAAATTCCATCTTCTTGAGCATAATGATTGGTCCAGAGGTGGGTAGATGATCCAAACAGACCAATTAGGTCTTGGAGTCTGTAGCATAGAGAGACTAGGAAGTATTTCAATTCAGCTTTGAAAGATAAACTTTTATAATGAGAATAAGAGGAAAGGGCAGTATGGGAGAAAGTGAGGAGCATTTCAGGGAGTGCAATAAATTTGAGGTGACCGGGGCATAGTGGTTAGGAGTGATAAGAGAAGTGGCTGGAGAGACAGGCTGGAGCTCAGTTAGACACGCCGTTGTTCAGTGCTCATATTAAGGGCAATATGAGCAAGAACAGAATGATACGGCAACATTCCTATGTTACTAGTGACTATGGTAGCTGAGTGGGGAAAGGACTGGAGTGTGGAGCCCAGGCAAGAAAGCTGACTTGGAGCCCAAGAAAATCATTAAAGAAAGTAGCAGCATATTCACTCTCTAAGGTCACTAAATATGTGGGATCATTGATGCTTTTTTCCCCAATTCCGTATCCAAGACTGATATTGCTAGTTGATCCACCTTTTCCAATTTAACATTGTCAACCCAGTGTTGCAGGTTGTCATTAGCAACTATTCATCCACATGACCACTCAAGTTGAAACCTACCTGCCCTTCTACACCATTCAGTAAGTAGTTAATATGATGGATAGAAATTCTCTTGGAGTGTCTCTTGCTTTAGGTTTTTGTGTTTTTTTGTAGAGCTAAGCTCATAACTGGAAGTAAATGGATGAGGGTTTGCTAAACAGGAAACAAAAATATTTTGAGTGAAACCTAGGGCTCTAGGAGAGACCAACTTTCCTTTCTTTTCTCAAAGCAAACATCAGCCCTGACCCAGCAACCAAAACAAAGTTGATAGACTCCATGGGAGGCAGTGTCTGGCTCAAGCCACTTTTAATGGGATGTGGAGCATGTGCATTTCCTTGAGGTCACAGTTTAAATCTGACCTATGGTTGTAAGACCCATTGTCTGACAGCTCCTTGGCAGCTGCAGTGAAATGAGTTATGGGTCTCAGGACCATTTCTAGTAGCATGAGTCCACTTCAGCAAAGCCGTTCTGCAGTTACTGCTGGAGAGGGAGTGCTAAATTGAAAGGCAAAGGAATAAATGGAGACAGGGCTGCTACATCTGCCTGTCAAGAGGAATTCCCAGAGCCACTAGTAGGCCCATTGAGTTAAAGGCTGCAGTGAGAGCTTTCACCGGGGAAAGGACAGTCTCAGGCAGCGGGATCTGGTCTCTTGCTGGCCAAAGAAATAGAGTAAAAGAAAAATCAGAAGCTCCAATGGCCTGTCTTTTGGATAGCAGAGAGGAGATACCAGATCTAGGCTCTTTAAAGTAGCATCAAATTTGCATGTCAATTAAAGAACAGAAATTCCTTCTTTGGGCAGCACTCAGAGGCCATGTCCTTCCCACAGGATTTGAGATTTTTCTCAAGGTTTCTCTCTTTTGACTTAGAAGTATTTATGAGCTGTGATTGAAAAATATGATGTGTGTTTAAATTTAAACAAATTGATTACAGTAAAAGATACTTTGCTATTAACCCACCTAAGAACATTCCTTTTCACTTCAAACACATTTATCCCCTAATCTTTTTGCCACTTTTTAAAAGTAGTTGTAAAAGTCCTTTCTCATATCTTTTATTCGCTGTCTTGACTGTCTCAGTGTCCTGAATCAATTTAAAAATATTTACCCCTCCTGACCATTTTGACTTATGGGAAGAGCCAGAAGTCACACTGTGTCAGATCCAGTGACTAAAGCAGGCAAGTATATATCATAATGTATGAGCCTGTCTGTTGGACAACATTCTGCAGGGGCATTTACTATTTATTATTTTATTTTTAAAATCACACCTAATAATTGCTTCAGAAAGTGGCAAGAAAGATGATATCTTAATTATTTTTTAATTGCTGAGACATAATACTGGACACTTGTAGCTTTAAGGGTGAAAGGTTTATTTTGGCCCACACTTTGTAGAAGCTTCAGTCATAGTTCATTGGCTCCAAGGTGGGGTGACTGGCAGAGGAGAAAGAGCCAATGGCATGGTGTCTGGGATAGGGAGGGGGAGAGGGAGAGGGAGAGAGAGAGAGAGAGAGAGAGAGAGAGAGAGAGAGAGACAGACAGAGACAGAGACAGAGAGAGAGATCAAAGGAAGAACAGAGAAGAAATAAACCCAGGACATGCCCTCAGTGACTCACTTCCTCTAATCAGACTTCACCTCCCAAATCACATTTAGCTTTAAACTCATCAATGGGTTAACCCACTGATGAGCATAACATGTCTATGTCCAATAAACTCCCAAAGCCCCAGTTGAGTGCATGAGGCTTGGGGGACATCTAAACATAAACCATAACAGATGGGAAATAAGGAAGGTGTTTTGAATATTCACTGTAAATTTTGATCACCCCTTGCACATTAATTCCCATTTTATAAATAAAGTAGCTAAGAGCTTAAAGGAATAACTTGCCCATCATTTGAGATAAATGCATACTTCTCAGATAAAGAACTACAAATGGCAAATAATATATGAAAAACGTTTGATATCTTTGGTCATCTGAGAGATACAAATTAAAACAGCACTGAGATTCCATCTCATTCTAGAAAGAATGACTATCATCAAAAATCAACCAGTAATAAATACTGGTGAGCCTGGGGGGAAAATGCAACCCTTCTGCACTGTTGGCGGTAGTGTAGACTGGTGCAACCACTGTGGAAATCAATGTGGAGATTCTTCAAAAAGCTAGGATTGGAGGTCCCATTTGATCCAGTTGTTTCCCTTCTGAGTAATTTCTTGGAAGAATTTAAAACAGCACAGCACAGCTATATGTACACTGATGCTTATAATAGTAGAATTTATAATAGCTAAATCTTGGAAACAACTCAAATGCCCATCAATAGAGGAATGAATACAAAAGATGTGATATTTTTATTTAAAGGAGTAAAACTCAGCTCTAAAGAAAGATAAACTTGAAGCTTTTATAGGTGAATGAATGCAACTTGAGACTACACTCATAAGTGAAATAACTAGATTCACATGTGTAAACAACATATTGTCTCCCTAGTGTAAAAAATTGAAAGCATAAATAAGATCCAAAATGTACAACAGATACTGTAAAAGTGAAAGAGAAAGAAACTGCTTAAATGGGAAGAATAACTCGAAAGGGGGGAAGGAGAAAAGAAAGAAGGGAAAATATTATATATACACAATATAGATAATAATACTACTGATCTCTATTAGTTTATCAAAAAGAATGATTAGTGCCTTCATTGTTTATTTTTTTCATGCCTGTATCTTGTGATCTGATCAACTATTTTGAAGATAACCATACACAATGTATTAACCATTGTTAATGTCTTATTATTTTGTTTTGAAATTCTGTACCATCATTTTAATTTTTTTTTGTTTAAAAAAAAATTGCCCAGGCTGCACATCCAGAAGTGATGAAACCCAGATTTCTTCAAGTGTCAGACTGATTCCTTAGCCCATGTTGGTTTCATTCTACTGCACATAAATAAAAGTTGCATGTAAATAATGGTTGAGTGGGAATATCTGTCCCCAAGTAGAATAAAATAAAGTGACTTAAAAGTCCTTAAAAGCAGTGGATACTGAGCACTCTGCTAAGCATCTTGTAAGAATATTCCCAGTGAATTCACAGACTACGCCATGCACTGGGTTCTGTTCCCATTTTACATATGAGGGAATTTAGAGTTCAATATTTTATCTAAGTTTCCTGGGCCCAAGTAATACAGCTGATGTTAGGATTTAGGTCTATTTTGCTCTAAAACACACACTCTGACTCAATAAAACTGATGTGGTACGTATTTATAGAGACTTACTGTTAGAGGCACATGAAATTACATTGGGAGGACATAAATGAGTATTTTTAAAAGGTATTTATAGATAACTATGATATTCATCTGTTATTTCATTAAAAAGAACATTTTGTACTTTCATTGTTTGATTGTTTGATCATTTGTTACATGCCTTTATATTGTAGTCTAAACAACTACTTTGAAGACAACAGTATGCAATAATCTCCTGTTATGTTGTCTTGAAAGTCTGTATCATCATTTTTATTCCTTTTTTTGCTTTAAAATATAAATAAATTACCATAGGTAAATAAACTGCTTTTTTCCCACTGGGGTAAAAAAAGCATTTCTTTTTTAAAACTTAATTTATATAAATTAAAAAGTGAGCCAATTTAAATGAATTAATTCAGTAAAACAATTAATAATGTGGTACATTAGGCAAAGAAGGCCCGCGTGGCTCATGGAGGCAGCAGTTCGAGGGTCACTGTGCTTTGCTAGGCTGCTTTCTAGAGGTGACTCAGCCTGCTGCAAGCAGAGAGGATTGTGCAGAGGCTGCAGGTGCTACTGCTAGCGGAGGTGGGCCTGCCTGCTCCGAAGAATATTGCTGCCTTGGGGGCCTTAAAGGAAAAGGATTCTTCCTGTCAGCTCCTGTATGCTGCACCATGTGGGAAGGTGTTTAGTCTGCCTTACTTTTAAATTCTGTCTGAATGCCCACAGCCAATTAAAGTCCCTCTTCCTCCGTGAAGCTCCTTGTGACTCCCTACTGCCCTCTTTTTTGTACCATAAAATTAGATTCTTCACAATGAAATCTAGTAATGTGCTGTTATTTTTTATCTTTATTGTGACCAGAGGTAGGAAGTATATTTCATATCATATACTAACTCTTAAAGACTGACACTGGTGAGGGAACTGCTGGTTCCAAGGAATTCTGAGGTTACGAGGGAGCTCTGCAGGAGAGACACCATGATCAATTTCAGTGATGCCTATCACGGGGCAGGTGAAGTGAGAAGAGGCGTGCATGCCACACATTTATCACTTGTTCTTGATTCTCCAACCAGATCTCGAGAAAATGATCCATATCTCAGACACTGCACTTTCCTTAGCATGTCACATATTTATAGATTTACTGATTCTGTCTCTCATTTCTCCTGAAGATTGAATCTGTAATTCCAAGAGAATCAGAAGTCATTGTATTAAATTTCACTGTGGATTACAGGTATTGAATCTGCACTTCTGGTTTAAAGATGAAATAGCTGCTTACTAAAGAGCAATTGACCTTTTCTTTTTCTCTCCACTTAATCCACCAAGAACTGAACAGAGAATTTAAGGATGAGGGAAAGGAGCCAGGAAAGGAAATGAATCAGAAAAGCAATGCCTTTAGGCCAAAATGAGTTTCCATAATAGCATTTAGGTGATGATTTTTTTCCATATGCTAACCCAGCTGTATTTAATCATTTCCCCTTTTTGTATGTAATCTCTTTGTTTTTCTCTGTGATTCTATTACTTGTTGCCAAAGAGGAGACAGCTAACAGGTAAGAATGGTTGGCTCCCTGGTCCTCTTTGCGAGAGATTTCATCAGCACCACGGTGAAGAGCAGCAGCTGTCAGGATTCATTCACAGTGGGACATTGATCTAGACAAGTGCCTGCATGGGAACTGGAGGTATCAATTCGTAGTGGGGAAAAATGATCCACCAACAGAATGCCATCTACATATGTAGGGAAGGTGCTCCCTGACAAGGCTATGCCATAAGCACAGTGCCACTTCAGGCTCTGCTCATCTCTCTTCTAGCCCTGCTTTACAGGTTCTCTTCACTGTCCTGAAATGTTTATTGCCTTCAGAGCAGAGCACACTTTTTCCTGAGAAAAGTACTTTAGAATATATTTAATATATTCTAAAAGTTCTTTAGAATATATTTTTTCTAACTTTCCTATCCTCTAGCATCAGAGTTTTGTTCTTAGTTTGTTGAACACATTCTATGCAGCATAAGTTGGTATTTTCTAGTACTTCTAATGACACTTATAAGCCTAATGCTCTGCATTTGGTGGTCTATTTATTTTTTAGTGTCATGGAATCATGCTAGTGGTATGCATACCAGGTTGTATGACAGGCCAGGGGAGGAAACTTTGTGTTATAAAGATTTCCTTTGAATGCATGGTGCTGGAGACCATTTTTGTATCTGAGTGCTTCCTGGCAGTGGATCTCAACCAGCATCCTGCAGAAGTCAGCTGTCAAGTGTTGATAAATAAAAATATGTGAGCTGATTTTTGCTGTGACAGAGACTCCCTGTGGGTAAAATTGTGTCTGTTGGAATTTAGAATTAAGTGGCTCATGCAATGCTGTATAAGCTTAAGACTTGCTGCAAATAAAAGACATATCATGCCATTAAGGTGATACCAAAAGAGACTATGTTTACTGAAATGTGAAAATAACTGGGCCTTGTATACATATATAAAAGCAAAGTTAAGTCAGGAAATGCGATTACTTAAATGTCTACTGAAATCCCTGTTCTAAAGAATGTTGTATCATTCTTATTTCCAGAGACCAGATTATACCTGATCAAGGAAGGCCCTCCAGAGCTGTATCATGACCTCAGGAACAAGATCAAAGTTAGTCTTGTGTTTTAGTTTATATGCCAAAATAATAGACAATCTTGAATTAGATGGTCCTGTGTCTTCTCTAAAAAGAATTAAAACTTTATAATGCTTTTGTTCTAGTTGAAAATATGCACTGCCAAATCTACAGATGAGGGAGCTATCTATATAGACAATGTTTACAGTGGTAGCTTGGTTCATGAACATAATCATCCTATGACTGTAATAAAGATGGCCTTGTTTGTGTTTGTGTGGGAAGGAAGACTGTGGTTGTACCATCCAATGCAGAGTTTGGAAACAAAAACAAAAATTTCCCAATGCTTCTGTTTGCCAACCAAATTTCAAACAAAAGATTTCGTGAACTGATGTACACTGTATTTATTTCTTTACATATACAGATATCAGGAGGTAATGTTAATTTTTAAATACTACTCCCCCCTACATTTACATTTTTGAGACAATGTTATTCAAGCCCCTCAGAGTGTAGTGTGGCTTTGATATGGTTTCCCTTTCTGTTGCTCCTATCCCTTCTTTAGGTTCAAGTTGTTGTTCAAAAGAAACTTAGGCAGTTGCCCAAGATATTTTGTAGTTGTCAGCATAACAGTAAATTACGTAGAACCCCATTGGCAGCAGCCACCCTGATGCTGGTCCTGGCAGCCATTAATTTTTTATTTTAAGAGTCTTTTTGGTGGCTTAGAAAGCACTGCTGTTAGTACTGGGGCCATTAGGTAAGCACATTTCTCTGTATTCAGGCTTCCTCACCAGTAATGGGATATAATAATAAGTTTTCTTCTTGGATTCACTGTATCTAAAAAATTAAGAGGAGGGCCTGGGAACTATTTCAGAAAGATTAGAATAGGGAAGAAAGACAAGGTGTGGTCCTAGCCTGGGTGGAACCTTGAAGACTTCAGAGCCTGGAGCTAAAGGGATTCTGAAGGCGATGGAATTCAACACCTTCACAATTTAGAAGAAAACACACACAGGACATTTTGCTGACACATGTTTCTTTCTTTGACACCATAGCCCACATCCTTAAGTATTATATTTTCCTCCAGAGAATTTTGTGTTATTCTTGGTCTTCATCATTCTTAGCTATGAAAACTTAGACTAGTGTCTTGACAGCAATGAACTTGAATTACATTATCTTCAGAATGGAGTGATAATCTCATGGTGGTTTTGTGAGCAGAGAAGAAAATAATAAAAAAAAGTAAAGTGCTCCTCGCTGCATCTGATACAGAGGCTTAGTATGCAGGGGGTTCTATTATTGAAAGAGTCGCACTGATTTTGTAGTTCTAGGTCTTTTCTTCTTTTTTCTTTTTTAAAATTTTAAAATGAAAAAAGAAAAAAACAATGACACGGAATTTCAAAACAAAATAATAGGAGATTAACATTGTTTGATTGTCTAGGTCTTTTTTTAGCTGTAAGTGCCCAGTTTCTACATTATTCCTTCCCACCTAGATCTAATACCTAATACACAGTGAAAAATAAAAACTAGTAAGAATTCAGTTACAGCGTTAAATGAAGTTGTATTAAGTTACTCTTAAGATCTCCTTTTCTTTTACCTCTAGAGCTCCTCAGCCTTTGAGAGTCAGATCACACATCATCTTTTCCAGGAAGCTACTCTGTCTCTGAGAAACTGTGATTGAAATTCTTTGAATGCTAGAAATATGTGATGAAGGTGAGATGGTGTGCATGTGTGTTCTAATTTAAACATAAAGACTAGCAGAAAGTATTATGCAAACGTCATGATAGAATCACTAGATGCTTTGATTTAAAACAAAAGAAAATAAGATATTTCCTTTCCTGCAGTAAGCTGGATATTCTAAAGTCAGGAGTCTTTTTATTTACCCTTGCTTGAGGAATGAGCTCTGCTCCTGGCAGAGACACTAAATTAGGTATTTTTAAAAGCTTATCCTTAAGCTTCCAATTAACAAATGGTCGGTCTACTGCTGCCCTTTCAGTCCATGTAAATGACAGAGATCCTTGTAGAGTCCTAGGGACATCAGCTTGGCATAAAAAACATGGCATTTATCATTTTCTCATCTTACCATTGCTGAGAAGTATAATTTAAAAAAATTATTAGAATTACTTTATTTAGAAAACTGGTAGCACATTTGCATTGGGCTGATGACCCAATGCAATGAATGTGACCAGAGGCCACATTCTAAAGTCAATATTTCTCTGGAAGCGTTTTGAAGAAGAAGGCAGAAAAGGTGTGCCAGTGGTGCCTTTTCCCATCATGCCTTCTCCACCCCAAACTGCAGGCCAAGGGAGTCAGTTTTCTCTTGATTCTTACCAGCCTACAGTTTTGAATACTTAAACTTTCCGGCAGTTAGGTCCAAGCCTGCATTTTACTAATTAAGCTACCTAACATTTGTTGAGCACTTACTATGTATAAAACATCATGATAGGTTTTGTGTGTTCTCCTTTAAAACAGAATTACAGTTTTGCATGGCTAGAAAAATGGATGGATAACTTATGAAGGGTTGAGGCAGAACACAGAGGTTTCAATTGTGATCTGAAGCTGAAAAAAACCAGCCACAGCCTTTGGAATGGTACAACGATTTAACAGAACTGGCCTCAGACCATGCCCTGTACCTGGGTTATTGGTGAGCAGCCATTGAGACTTTGGGAAGAATAATATGTCATTGTCAGTGTTATAGCTTGTGTCTAGATGTTTCCCTAAATCTCATGCTTCCTTAAGTGAGGTTTTTCAGAGGTGGCTGAATCTAGAGTGTGTGATTGATTCATGGTGCAATGCTAGATTAAGGGTGCTAAGATCAAGATTGAGTGATTACTAAATCAATCCACTTACTGGTGTGGCATCACCCTAATCCTGGTAGCCTAGACAGAATATAAAAGGGGCAGAAAAAAGGGCTGCTAAGGTCCTTTGCTTGATTAGCTACCTTCTGCTCACCATGAACTGGTTCTCCTTTGTGATTCTCCTCTGCCATGCCACCCTGTCTTATAGCCAGCTGACTTTGAGCTGATCTCCACAAACTGTGAGCTAAATAATCCTTTCTTCTTTTAACTTTGGGTGCTAGAATATATTTGTTTCAGCAATGAAGAAAGGTAACTAAGATAACCAGTTGGAAAGTGTGGTGTGTCCTGGCTTGCTGATCTCTCTGTTTGTGTCAGGACATTGTACTTCCTTGGTGACCTGTTCCTCCCCCAATTCCTCCTTTACCTCCTAGTGAACCCCACTGTGCCTTGCTGCAGGGATCATCCCTCCGCACTTTGAACTCTTCCTGCCTCAATTACTGACGCCTGTGCCTCAAGTTGTCATTGTCCACTTGCAGCTTAGATACCAACACTTTAATGAAGGTTAAATTAACCTCCCATTGTTTTATTCCTTTTGAGCACTTAATCTATCTTGCTTATTAATTCATTTACATGTTCTATTCCACTCTCTTGAAAATGTGTACTCTATAAAGTTTCGAGCTGGGGACACATTTTGGGAGGGGCTGAGGAATGAGTCTGATCTGAGACTGGGTGTTTGTGGGTGTAAAGTCCTTCTTTGACCACTTCATTTGTCAGGTTTATGATTTTGCTTTTACTCTTCTTTCTTTAACATTTCATTCATAGTCTCGACAATCATTTCATCACCATCTTATAACAAGAGGTACTATTTTAGAGCATGTGTTCCTGATTGCTTTCTTTCCCTCAGAGCTTGTCCTCTTTGCAGGAACTTGTTCAGTCTTGTATTGTAGGTAGGCTTACTGCCTAATACCTGCCTGGCATGAGGAGTGCTCAACAATGTTAATGGGATTGTTAGCCACACACTAGCTGGAAGACTTGGCACGTGGCATTATATTATATGACTTTTATATGCATCAGTGTATTAACTTATAGAACTTATAAGGCAATAAAGACACTTCTATCACCAAAATTTTGGGAGGATGCAAAAAGTAATGACTATGGCCTGCTTAATATATCCTAGAGTTCAGAAAGAGAAGTTCATGATCAAAAATGGTATATTTTGAGTCTCTAACCTCTTTTTGGAAAAGTAATCTTGAATGTTTTGTCCCTGAGGCAGGGTGAGTGTCTAGGAGTGCAGAGTTTATGCGTGATGCACATTCAGCACTCAAGTGCTCATGTTACTCTCAGCTAATGTATCCTTGATGAGGCCAGAGGTTAGAGTCATCCAGTAATTGCCACATCTGAGCATGTCACTTGTTTATCTGAAAACTTTCCTTTATATGGTAATTCCTTATTTTTAACAAAATTTCAGTTTAAGGGAAAGAATAGCATAGTTATGTATGCAAATTCCTAAACCAAGACCAAATTCATCCATGTGGTGAGATACATGGTCAGATATCATTATTTATTAGACTCCTCCCTCAAGAAAAATAAAATTTCCTTAATTTTGAATAATAAGAGGAATTGCAAATATCGTTTTCCCACTACTGACAATTAAATTAGTGCTTGCTAAGCGTGGGACAGGCACAGTGCCAGAAGTGATGCTAGCATGTTCTACTTCACCTTCCCAGTATGCTGTGAAATAGGTCGAGTAGTGCTATCATATGCTGTTCTGTATATCAGAAGACAAAGAACAGAGTTTGTCTCTTTTTTTCTCACATAGTGTAGAAAACAAGTTAACTAAAACACGCAAGATTTCCAGTTGTTTTTATTCCCTGTGAAGAGCTTCTATATCAGTGTAACAAAATTTAGTTGCTTTCTGTTCATCTGTTGTTTTTTCATGTGAAAATGGCTGAATGGGCTTTAACCAAATTCAAATTAAATGTTTTGGTTAATCAAGGTGCAAAAATAGCTGAGTTTGGTGGCACTTGCTGTAGTTCTAACACTCTGGGAAATTGAGGGAGGAGGATTTCAAGTTTGAGGTTAGCCTGGGTAAACTAGTAACTTAGCAAGACCCTCTTTCAAAATTTAAAAGGGCTGGGAATATAGTTCAGTGCAAGTTCTTAGGCTTAATCCCCATTACCAAAGTAGACAAATACAGGCTATTGGACAATATATTAGGCAATTTCCTATCACTGGAACAAAATACTCAAAAAAGAGAGGTTTATTTTGGTTCATTTTCAGAGGTTCAGTTTCTGGATGGCTGGCTCCAAGGTAGAAATGATATGGTAGTAGGGTCTGTGGAGGAAAGCTTCTAACTTCATCAGAACTGAGAGAGGAGGCAAAAGGACACCTTTCCAGATCTCACCTCCAGTAGCCCCTTCTGTAACCAGGTCCTACCTCCCAACAGCACATTCGGCTGTGAACTATTCAGTAGATTAACTCATTGATGACTACAGCATCCCATGATGTAATCATCTTCCCAAAGCCCCACCTCTGAGCACATGATTATTTTTTATTTTAAAGAGAATAAAACAAAACAAAGTTTTCAAAAACCAAGGCAATAGTAACTGTATTGTACATTGTTATCCTGTAAATAGTTGCTCAGATGCAAGGCATAAGCATGCAAAGTTAACAAAACAATACGAGCCCTAAGTTGTTTCTTTACTTCATTTTCTGTTGTTTCAGAATTTCAAGTGTGTGACTTCTAATTTAGTGTTTATGTTTCCTGGACTTATTCTGGGTGGGCTGGAGGTGTGAGATTGTGCCTTGCTCCTTCATCTTGATATTTTCCTGTGTTCTTCTGAATTAGTCACATGTTCAGTCCCAGGCACTTTCTTGTACTGGCTGCCTATCCGGCATTGGAGGGGACTGGGTAGACACCTGGGTCCCTTCCATCCAAGGTTCTGAGGGTAGTAGAGAGGTGCAGAGTGGTGACTCACTGATGCTTCCCTGATGGCATCAAGGCCTTGGGATGTGGTCTCTTCTCTTCCAGGACCATGGCAGTGGGCTCACCAGGGTGTGGCTTCTTCTCCTGAGCACATGTGATTTTTGCAGGTCATTTTAGGGCTGAAATGTAACAGACATGCTCAAAGTTCACTTTACAAGTATTCTGCTTCTGGTAAGGACAAACTAGGTCACTTCTAACCAGAACACTGGATAAGAACAACTAAAGAGTTTAGGTAATATATTTGAAAATTCAGGTTAAAGGCACCAGAGAGCTATGAAAGAAGGCCAAAGTGAAGATCTGGGAGAAGAGAAAATCCCATTGATATGCAGACCTGGAATTTAGTGTTGCCTCTTTTCTTGAGGCAATTATTAGTTTTGACCATAGTGACTAAGAGTCTTAGGAGTTAAATTTAGCATTCAGACCACTCATCAAGTTGAGGGATAGAACTTGGACTTCAGAGCTTGAAAAGAAGAAGTCTTAAAATAAAATACTAAACTTTTAATTAGGACTTTAGGAGCAAAAGTGAATTGGAAATAAGTAAACTCTTGCAGTTACTCATCCATCTTTTACTTATCTCACTATGTGATTGGATCAATGTAACCTGAGGTGCTATAGTGGGGTAATACTTAGTCTCTGATATTTTCTATAATTGTTATATGCAGTGTGTAAGACCACATAACAATGTTTTAGACATAGAAAACTATGGGTGGTTTATAGAAAACAATTTAGACACTGAAAACTATTAAAAAAGTGATAGAAAACATGGAGCACTATAATTCAACTGAAATAAGAGTCAGTGTGAATAGCAGTTTACATATAGCTGATGAGAGAATTAGTGAACTGGAGGATGGGAGATAAGAGGATATCTAGATTTAAGCATGGAAAAGGATGAAAAACACAAAAACAGTTTAAGAGACAAAGTAAGACTG